AGAGAATATACCATCTATACCATCCACGGCGGATCAGACCATCCTTGCAACCCCTGTCATTCATCACTGGAGCTTTATCCATGCGGATAGTCACAGCTTGCAGCAATTGCTCGATCACCAGGATCTTGTGCTCCTGCCGGCCAGGAACGTGCATGAGTTCAGTATCCACCCAGCCCTATCCATCCCACCTCTTTGGAATAACCTTGACCAAAGCTTCCTGTTGGACTACTACATTAACCAGATCTGCCCCCGGACGACCCCCAGCCCGAGCGCCACTTCACCTTTCGCAGCTGTCATCCTGCCCTACTGTCAGATCGCCTCCCCAGTGGTGATCAAGGCCCTGATGGCCCTAGCAGCATGTCACTGGAGCCAACAGGACCCACGCTACGGTCTGCACGCCCTGAAGCTCAAATCACAGGTCGTCGGTGACTTTCGCCGCCGGATTACGAGCGATGATCGAGGATCCTTCCTTCTTTCCCCAGACCCCGAAGTCCTGGTCCTCATCATGCTGCTCTGCCTCTACGAGACCGTCGATCACTGCGACCGACGCTGGATTGTCCACCTGCAAGGCGCGAAGGACATCATCCGTCTCCGACGCCAGCAGCAACAGTTACAGGCCGACGCACTTCTCGCCCTGCCAACAGTTCCAAGCGACCCCGTCTCGAAATTCGTCGAGCTATTCTTCGCCTTCCAGGACGTGATGGGCCGCACCGCCTGCGCAAAGGCGGATTTGTTCGGACCCAGCTACTGGACCGAGGGAGATGTGACCATCAACGACTGGATGGGCTGTAGTCCCGCGCTGGTGTCGATCCTGTTCGCGATCATGGACCTCAGCCGCTACCGCCGCCACATGGTGTCCTCCGCGTCGGAGGAGCTGACCTTTCGCGCGCGCGCCTCGAACCTCCAACGTCGACTCAACGATCTCGTCCAGAAACCCGCCGTCGGGGGCGAAGATGAGACCCTCCGCCGCGTGGCTGAGCTCAAGAGATTGACCTGCTCGGTCTATATCCAATGTGCATTACACGGGGCCCGGCCCTGCGATCCCGCTGTCAAACCCACTGTCCAGAAAATCCTCGCGGGGCTGAGGGCGCTGGTCGCGCAGGGCTCCGCCAGCCAGGCGATGATGTGGCCGCTCTTCGTGGCGGCCGTCGAGCTGGATCCTCTTGATGACGTGGTGGTCGAGAACCCGAGTCGCAGCCTGGAGGCCGAGAACGGTGGCCGTCGACGGCTGGTCCTGCGGTTGCTGATGGAGATGGCCAAGAGGAGTGTGTCGAGCGTTGCGCGAATGCGCGCGGTCATTGAGGGCGTCTGGCAACGGCGGGACTTTCACCTGCACGCTGTGGAGGATAGGAAGCTGGGTCGGTTCTCCGACTTGAATGATTGGGAGGTGTTTGTTGTGCCGGGGAGTGACGCGTTGAGCCTGGTGTGAGACGCACAAACAAAACCATTGCTTGTGGCGATGCACAAGATCCGCATGTACGGTACTTATAGACATTTGCCATGTTAATAATTAACCAGGCTACCTGTCGAGGCGATCGGTCTGGGTAGCCGACATTGTTACGTAGACTATGCAGACACCGCTGAACACATGCGATGCAAGATTAATCTTAAAACCGCGATGCCTAAGTCTAGGACTCGCCTCAGGGCTGCGAAAATGGCTTTGCATCCAATTACAGCACTCATCCGACTACGAATGGCGTCATGAGCGTCCGCAGTGGTGCATGCGTGATTGATGATTGATAAGACATTCCTCATACGACCGAGCGATGGCGAATCTTTGCCTGCAAGCGGGGCTTCGGTGATAAGCCCCATTCATTAAACGGCGACTAAATACCCCATCAGGGCCATCAGTATGTTCCAGGACGCCACTAACGATACTACACCAACGCCTGCCCAGCTCGAGAACACCCAACTCAACATGGTAGCCCGGAAACACCTCAACGTGGCCATCGTCGGGGCCGGGCCAGGGGGATTGGCGACCGCCATTGCCCTGTCGGAGCTCCCCTACGTCTCAGTGACCGTCTACGAACGAGCCCCCGAGCCTCGGGAGGTCGGAGCTGGCATCAGTATCGGCCGCAATGGCTGGAATGTGCTGGAGTTGCTGGGCGCGGCCGACGGGGTCAAGGGGGCAAGGAAACAAACCCCCTTCCAACGGTGGGTGCGCCTCCTTTGCTCCTGGCCCTAACCCCTTCCTACGCGATGGCTGAAACCCGAGTTCGCAGTAATGGTCGCACGGGAGAATCGATCGTCCCACGCGCAGCGACGCCTCCACCCCTCAGTCCCGAGGAGGTCAAGTATGAATCCATTAGGGCTCGGAGAACCCGCCTGCAAGCCGCCTTGCTCGCCAGGGTGCCCCCCAACACCATCCGTTTCAACAAGAAGCTGGTTTCTCTGACGGATCTTGGCGGGGAGGACGGGGTTCGTTTGCAGTTCCAAGATGCGACCGTAGCGACCGCGGATTTAGTAGTCGGGGCTGATGGGATTCGTTCGGTGAGACTGACCAGTCCAAGGGAATGTTTCCTACTGACATTGCCCTATAGGTCGTACGACAGACATTGTTTCCCGACCACCATTTGCATTTCACCGGTGAGTGACTGGCCTGGAGTGGGCGCAGTACAGTCAGTACTTGCAACGACGCCGTGGGCCCTGGCTAAACAGAAGTCAACCTCCCAGGAGTCACCGCGTGGCGTGTGCTGGTGCCAGTCGCCTCCATCCGCCATGTCGCCGAGTTTCCCACCTCCACCGGCTGGTGGCATGGCCTCAACGGCTACTTCTACTTCTCGCATGTGGACGATGAGCCCGACCGTGAGCTGTGCGAGATCACCGTCCGGTCCTTCCACGAGCCGGAGGTGCCCGGCCGAACCGCAACCTGGGCCATTCCATCGACCAACGAACGCGTCCGCGCGCGGTGTGGGGTGCGTACAGATATCCCCAGACCCTCTCGCCCCCTCGCTCCAGCGGTGTGTGAACTCACCAAAGGCTGAAACACAGGAGTACGATCCTCGGATCCAGGCCGTCTTGGATGTGGTCCCGGAAGGGGACTGGCGAGAATTCGCGATGGCCGCTGGCCCGTGTCTTCCGGAGATCCAAGGCTGGGATAAAGTGGCTTTGATCGGGGATGCCAGCCATCCGCTGTCCGGTGCCTTTGGGTCGGGGGCCGCGTTTGCGATGGAGGATGGATGGATTCTGGCCCGGGCAATCGAGCATACCATCACCTCGAACACAACGATCAAGGATGCACTCGAGATCTTCCAACGGATCCGGGCGCCGTACTATGAACGGATGCACGTGCCTTCTTCACCCTCTGCCTGGCCTCGAAGAGGATAATGTGGCTAACACGATGTTCTTCGCAGGTATGACTATCTCGATCGGAAGGCGAGCGATGCGAAGAAGGCTCGAGCGCTGAGCGGGGACTTCGACACCGTCATCAAGGCCCGCGTCGCATCGTTCGGAGGTGCCGGGGCGGATTCGTTAGACTGGATTTACCAGAATGACATCAAACAGGTCTGGGCGGAGTATGTGGCGAGTGAGGCCAGATAGAAGTCATCCCCAAACGATTACAGGCGCAGCAGACGAGACAGAATGGCCATTATCTTTCAGTCGTGAATGGCCGTGTCCTTGTCCCCTTCTACGAAAATAGTCCGACCGGGGAAGTTCGCATTGGTGAAAATAATCTCATCCTTGTCCATCGAAGCATGCTCTGCCAAGTGACGTAGTAGGTCTGGTACTTTCACAGGACCGTCAAGAATGAACGCGGTGAATTGTCGCTCTGATATGAAGGGACCGCCTCCAGCTGATGCACGCAGCTCGATAAAGGCTTTGCCGTGATCCACAGCCCGAACGTAATCAATCTCCTCGGAGATGGCGAAGTTGGTGCCGGTAGGAAGGCATCCCTCTCAAGGGCACGGGGATTGTTGTCTTGTCCGCCACGAAACATAAGATCGTGTTCCGAGAAGATTGCGACCGTAGTTGTAGCAATGCACGGAAGGTTGATCGCAGAACATCTTGACAGAGAGTGAGGGAGAGAGGCGTTGAAAGACCTATGCCACAGCACGATATCATTAGCCTCAGAATGTCATTCATGGAGGGTTAAAGCGACCATCGCGGTCACAGCCCCCCCCCCTTTGGAGACTCTCATCGCAAGCGAAGGCAATGACGAGGTGACAGCGGTGGCACTGCTTTGGAATGGAAGAATGGAAAGCAGATTGTTTGTCGAGAGGGGAACATACTCAAGACACGTCGACATGCGGGGTGCCTGTAAGCTGCCGTTGGGGGCTTATCATACCATCTCTGCGTCGGTGAAGCAGCCCACTTTAGTTGGAAAGGCTAGGCAGTGCCATCCAGCAACGGTGATGAAGGGTATAGACAGCTGCAACTTGCCATTCCTCTTTCCTCAGCTCTGCTCACTGACCGACACCATTCTCTCAGTTAGTAGGGCATTGCCTGCAAGGCAAACAGGATTTCGTTTGCCTCTGAGAAGATTTCAAGAGGGGGAGCGCAAACTCCCGTCCGTGTGCTCTGTGCTACCCCAACCCTTAGAGTGCGCGCGGTGAGTCTCCTTATTCCCCCACCACGACGGTGACATTCTGTAGGAGTCCGTTATGCTGATGGTATGTGCAGCCGTCTGAGCGGGATCTGACTGCTGCCTAGTAGGTCCCCGTCTTTGTGCTTAGGTTGGAAGAGAAAGTAGAAGCCAGATTGCACACATCCAGGGCGAGATGCCTCCTGCAGACATCCACGAATGCGACCCTATCTGCCTCTTGAGATGCCCGATGAGCTTGTTTTCGTTGTGAGTCTACGCGCGGATAGCAAATAGTATGGAGGGGCCATGCCTATCGACCCTCACACCGGTCAAGGGCTCGGAGGTTAATTCAATATGATTGTGTCGAAAGTGAAAAGAGAGCATGAGTATTTGTGGGTTGACCTCCACTTCCTCCCTTGCCATCCGCACCATCCATCAAGCATTTCTCCCTCCTTCGGTTTCTTCAATACTCAAAAACATGTCTCTTACAGGTACCTGGGCACTTGCCCCAGCATTCGCATGCGAAATAACGAGCGACATTGCCCTCGGCAATGTCATCGCGGATCCTCACGCACCTGACAGTCCCCTTCAGCGGGTCAAGCCCGAAGACCTGACCGACTTTCCAACCGTCGAGGACGTAGATGAAGGCTCCTATCGAATCGAGTCTGCTGACGGGTCGCCGCTGGCCTTGGGTTTAGGAGCGAGAATTTTCCATTCCCTGACGTTCGCAGTGTGGCACCAAAGACCTGCCAGCGACTTCGCGAACCATAGCGCGGTGGGCGTCCGGACGCGGAAACTCGCTCCCAATCTTCCCTGGCGTGAACTTCGCCCGTTTCTCGAACGAGAGTCAAGCCTTGCGTACCTAATCTCTGGCAGGCCGCTTTACGTTGTCTCCGGTATCATGATCGCGACGAAATTCCGTCGGCACACCGTTAGGGATCCGCACCGCCGGACGGATCTTGAGTTCGGATTTGGCGACCCTTCCTCCTCCATGCATCTCACGGGCAGTATGGGAACCTCTAGCCCCAAGATCAAGAGCGTCAACGCCGACCTCAGCAATATTCTCTTTGCGTATCGACTGCACAAGGTTACTCTGGGGCCCGGGCCCCAGGAACCGCAGATCCAAGCGCAAGTGAGCCGTTCGCTGGCAGCTTTTGCGTCTATCCATCACGACAGGTCCAACAATCGTGAGGGGGGGCAGGAAGAGGAGGGAGAGACTGGAAGTGGTGGCGGTGGTGGAGGAGATGCCATTTGTTTTGTCGAGATGACCTGCGAAGACTGGCGCGGCCATCATTTCCAGATCTTGCCATCTGTGCGGGAGGAGACCGAGACCCAGATCGAGACTGGCGACTAGCCTTTTGCTTTTCATTCGGTGAATTAGTGGGGACGTAAGTGAGGTTATGACACCTATCTATGTATGGTCACATTTGTCGATTCCTACTCTGCGTAACTTTTGCCTCCCTATGGCTCATGGCATCCTGGCCGAGACTGACGCTGACGGCCTTGTAGAGGTGGACTATCGCGCTGTGCCCCTTGCCCGAGACCGTTAGACTTGATATAGCTCACTCAGCTGTATTCCACACCATCAAGAAGCTAGTCGGTGGTCCCTCAGTCCCAGCCTTCTCCCTCCATGCTTCAGCTAGACCTTTCAGTGCAGCTTCCATCCCCTCCTTTCTTTCCAGATCGCTACCCGAATCGACACACTCCAATGAAGTGGCCGCAATGACGACGAGGATGGCAGCTGCTATTGATGAGCCGGACCTATAACCCCTGATCTGGTCGGGATGTCCAAGCGATGCGACTGGCACGCACTCGCCTAGTGTCGCGATCACTACCTCGCTTGGCGACTTGCGGACCAGCGGCCGATCTGACCAAAGCGATCCTCTTAGATCCAACGGACGGGCGGCTATCACGTATCGATGACTGGCAGGAAACCTGACCTCCGAGCACCTCGCCGCGGTTGCCGCTGCAATAAACAAAATGTGTCCGTTCCGGCGTCTGACGGCCTCGTCTATAGCCCGACTGATTCGATCATCTTCTGGGACGCAAAACGCCATGCGAATGATGTCGTTCTTAGGGTCCTCAGCGGCCTGTCGGATTGCCTAACGTTGATTCAGTATGGCGATGTTGCATGAAGGCCCAAAGGAGAGGGGGTCAAGGCGCCATACATCAGCTATCAACTGACCTCCCACTTCAAGGTCAGTGTCTCGATCTGCTATACATTTTACTTGCACTTTGATGGTAGGAGAAAGGCTCGTTATGAGGCTGACGATCTCAGTCCCGTGACCGTTCTCATCATAGCACACTGTCCCGCCCCTGACCAGGTCTTCATACCCGGCAAGCTGCGACAATTCTCCTGGGGGTTTCATGCAGCCTGAGTCAATCACAACGGCTTGGGTTTCTCTGCGCATAAACTTTGCAGACAGTTTTCGGAGCCGACTGGACAGACACGAGAGCCATTCTCGAGTCCTGCTTTTCTTTGCTGTGTCAAGAGCTTCCCTGGAGATGGGAATGTGGATAGGCTCCACATGAGAGTTGAGGTCTATTTTCGTATGCCCAGTGTTCAGTCCACTCGAACGGCTCTCATGACAAGGAGGAGGAGGGGTTGCAGGCATATCGCAAGCCTCAGGTGCCGGACGCAGCAAGATATCCCTGCCACGAAACGTTCATGTCAGCGGAATGTCTATCGCCCTCTTGGCTTGAAGGTTGCGGAGTCCAGACTGATCCCAGTCCCCGAATGACTGGGAGAGTCTAAGCCATCTCCCCGGCCGCCTACCTGGCTGGTTCTGCCGTGTCGGTCTTCACTCCGTTTCGGCAGCCGATGCTTGCCGTCTCAGTTGATCGTTTCGGTATGTTCTCGTCTGTTGCGAAGAGGGACAGGAGGTGGAGAATCTTGTTCGTGGGGCAGAAACAGAGGAGGTGTGATATGTGTGCAGTATGTGGTTTTGGCTTGTGGCCACATGGAAGAGATTTTGGAAATGGTTGACCCCATGTAGAAAGTGTTAATGAGGCTGGTATTAGAACATAGAAGATAAAAGGGTCCGGTGCGTTCATTGTAGATGAAGAGTCTGAGTGCATCGCACTCCAGCCCTTCCTCCTTCGCCATACATATTGCTACCGCAGGAAGCTGCACGACTTCATGAAAGATGTCCACGAGCCTTTCTGCTCGTCAGTATTTGTGTAGATGGTAGATGGGAGGACATTGTTAGCCCGGCATAGTTGCTCAATCTTCTGTTCTGAATGCCTTTGCATTTCCTTGATATTGGTTCTGGTCCGTACATCTCTTGTTTAATTCACAATGGGCTCATATTCTGGGACAAGAGTCCTGGACTGCCGGCGGCAGCAAGTTATACATAGTGACTGGGCTCCAAGTTGACAGGAACCTGCCTGTCACATACCCATGTTCTTAGGATAACTAGCCCTAGCTTGAAGCCAGCTTCGAGCCACCCGGTTGTCCTCGGCTGAGAGCTGCTCGAGATTGTGATGGGCGGCACAGGGAAGATCAAAGCTAGGGAGCACTACACTCCCCTTGTGCGTTTGGTTTCCCGAATGATCCCTTTGGGGCTGATTGCTCACCGCGGTGCTACAACAACTGACAAAGATCACAGTAAATGAGGAGGAGCTATCTTCCGCCAGGGCCCGAGAGTTCGGTTAGGGTGATCGCTAAGATTTGACCCCCAAGGGCCACGCATAGTCAGCACCACGACTGGCTGCCAGAGACTGCACTAAAAACTAGACAAGGATTCCATAAAGAACTACATCAATAGACCAAAACAATGAACGAGCAAGCGCAAAGTGCAAATCATTCACCACAAGGATTTCATCACTATATTGACCACGAGTATCATTGTTCAGATCATTAGGGTTTGTTTCGTTCACAGCATCCCAGGTATCGCCACAAAGACCGGGAAATCGCAAACAATACACACTTCACTCTTGATCCACCGGAGACAGCCATTTCTACTTCACCTCGCTCCTCTGTGAGGTGAGGCAACCTATCGTTCATTGGAAATTATGTCAGGATTGAAAAGGACCCTTCCCTTCTATCTAGGATGAAACTGGGTCAGTGAAAGACACTGAGCAAAATTCCCCTGGCCAAGCTTGAAGACATCAAGCAGCAATGTGACGCGGAATTGGCGGAACCGGTGCTCGTCGTGACCCTACAGCCCAACAAAGCCTGGGCAAATTGGAGGAGATGCTGCAGTTTGCATCGCTGGATGGTATTTAAGCTGCCCGAGATCACCCCCAGATACTACAATGTTTCAACCCATCCACTCACCAACCTCACCACAACCGCAACTCTGATCCCTCATTATGCCTCGAAGAAATGCTCGCGACATGTCCCCCAGGTGGGCGCTGGTCTCACGCCTTGATCACGCTCCCGAAGGCCTGATTCGGGTGGGCATTATCTTGGTGAATCCTAGCGAGCCTCATCGGCCGCTGACCAGGGTCCCGGCATCCGAGGGGCAGGAGGGCTTTCCACCGATTATCACGGAGGAATCGGTGGGGCGGTACACTGCCCATTCTGTATGGGAGTTTAATTCCGAGCCCGGAGTGGAGATCCCCTGGAGGCTCCTCCCCATGATGGATTATTGCTCTATGGCACGGGGCTGTTCATTGGGGATCACCATTACCATCTCTTCTACTCTAGAGAACCTAGGGAGGAGATAGTTCAGGCCAGCCTGATGAGGGACCCCACTATTCAAGCACTGTTGGAGCAACGTAGCGGTGGCGACTGTAAGCTGTATCTAGTGAACTGTATTATGATCGCTGAAAATATCTCTGTCGAAGGGAAACGATATCACCTTCCGGAGGGGCGTCCAGAGGGTGGTGTCAACGTCATTATTAAGGACCAAGGCCCGAAAATTCTCGCCTACAGAATGCTTGAGCTTGTGATAGCCCCTGCAGGAAGGGTTACGCTCAACGATTACTGCCCTGCTAGAGAAGATCCACATTTCTTTCCGGATTCTTGGAGCGATGTCGCCCACCGACTACTCCATCAGGAAATCGCGGCCGAGTATACAAGAGAGCAGGAAGGTGAAATTACAGTCGGGCGCATTTCGCCCTCCTGAGGGACAAATTTGGTATGCAGTCGGTATGCATTTGATATGCATTTGATATGCATTTTGAAATGACCCAGCAAAACAGATAAAATAACCTTAAAAAATGAACCCATCATGAATTCTACATCCAAGACATCTGGCATCCTTATACAAACTACCTGGTATCCCAAATCTCTCTCACCTTGCTAGGGAGGACGGTGCCTTGATGCCTCTGCGGCTCCAATCCAGGCATTTAACAAGACATCAAAAGCGGCAATTCGCAAAGCAATTGATCAGCAACGCTCCGGTTATAGACTGACTGAATCCTGGGATCCTACCATCATCCCACCTACTCGTACAAGTCCCCGGAAAACCGGGAATTTCACTTGATGACCCGTCACATGACACTAAGCTTATTATGACCCTATCTCAGCCCACCTTGGCGATGAAGCACCTCGCTCTTCCGTGAGACAATCCATCTTTCATTGTGCCATCGGTGCTTGGAAAGGGGACAAAAAACTGCCTGGGCCTCCTCAATAGGTTCTGTCATCAAGGAAAAGTGCCATTCAATTAATTCTGTTGAATTGATAATGGGCCAGTCAAGGAAGACATAAAGTAGCCCTATGGCACGGAGATAGTGGAGCCGGTGCTCGCCGTGACCCAAAAGTAAACAAAACCTGATTAGGTCAAGTAAATGCTGCAGTTCATATTCTTATAGAGGTATGTAAAGCGCATGCATGGTATTGCTACCCACTGTCTGGTTTACACCTACCGAGCACCACCAAAGCATTTGGAAATCAAGGCTTCTGTCTACATGAAAACGGCAATTCACACGAGGGGAAGAAAGCGGGGATTGCCGCATACAACCTCCGGTTATCGGACCGAGCCCGTAGCCGCCACAATCCCACTTACTATGTAACTCCTTAAGAATGCATGTACAGTATTCGCAGGATTCACAGAATTTACCGTGTTCGGGGTATTGAACACTCACTTGAACGGGCTCCAGATTCAGTTCCGCTAGCAATATTCCGTACTGGTAACCCACTGAACAATTAACCCGTCTACGTCATCGACCGCGCCAGGGAAGTTTCTCTCGGCAAAACTTCGGCAAATGATCAATTATACTGAGTACATGGAAAGTGGAGACAAGATATGAGGCCACTGAGTCATTGACAGTCCCCGCAACCGCACGCAAAACCCCCACGGGTGGGATTTGTGGAGCGTTGGGGTTGGTTGGGGTCGAGGACTCGGCACGAGGCCGATCCCCGGCTTTGGACTTCATCCCGAGCCCTAATGGAGATGGTGATGATGATGATGATAATGCGATCTAACAATGCAGCACCGCTATGCCGTGTTTCCCGTTTGGTGTCACAGCCTACTTCAGGGCTAATAAATAGAGGGTCCCGTGGAGGTCTCATTGCATTTGAATCCATTCCTCAACAGCGACCTCAGTTCCTCCAGTCAAGGCCCATCTGAATGCGATGAAGGTCTCAACCGACTACGCCTTTCTCCTCTCAGGGGCGCTGTTGGCTCCCTCAGTCCATGCAAGCACTTGCCAGGCCCCAATCAACCATCCTGGCAAGCCCTTCAGTCATGTGCAGCCGCTCAACACCACCATTCTGACACCCTACGGCTCTTCCCCGGCCGTCTATCCTTCCCGTAGGTCTTCTCTGGCCTTGAGCCCAGTAATCCCTCTACTTCTACAGCTCTTTCCCCGCTAACTGACTCTCCCCACGCTCAGCCAACATCACCGGCGTTGGCGGCTGGGATCAGGCGCTAGCCAAGGCCAAACACTGGGTCTCCCACCTTACTCTGGAGGAGAAGACCTGGATGGCCACCGGCCAACCGGGCCCTTGCGTCGGCAACGTGCTGCCCATCCCACGCCTCAACTTCACGGGACTCTGTCTGCAGAACGGACCACAGTGCCTGCAGCAGGGCGATTACTCGAGCGTCTTTGTCAGTGGGGTCTCCGCGGCCGCCAGCTGGGACCGCGACCTGCTGTACACGCGCGGACAGGCAATCGCCCAGGAGCACAAAGCCAAGGGGACACACGTGGTACTGGGCCCCATCGGCGGCCCCTTGGGGCGCAGTGCGTACAACGGACGCACCTGGGAAGGGTTCGCTGCCGACCCGTACCTGACCGGGGTGTGCATGGAGGAGACGATCCGGGGCATTCAGAACGAAGGCGTGCAGGCCAATGCCAAGCACTGGGTCGCCTACGAGCAGGAGACCCAGCGCAACCCGACCTACGCCCCCGACGCCAACGCGACGACCTACATCCAGGACTCGGTCTCCTCCAACCTGGATGACCGCACGATGCACGAGATCTACTTGTGGCCGTTCGCCAACGCCCTGCGCGCCCGCGTCGCCAGCGTCATGTGCTCCTACAACCGCATCAATGGGTCGCACGCCTGCCAGAACTCATACGCCCTGAACCACCTGCTCAAGACCGAGCTGGGCTTCCAGGGCTACGTCATGTCCGACTGGGGCGCCACCCACAGTGGTGTCGCCTCCATCGAGAGCGGCATGGACATGACCATGCCCGGCGGGTTCACCGTCTACGGCGAGCTGTGGACTGAGGGCTCCTACTTCGGCCAGAACCTGACCGCGGCGGTACGCAATGGCTCCGTCGCCACCACTCGCCTGGACGACATGATCGTGCGCATCATGACTCCGTACTTCTGGCTGGGCCAGGACGATCCCGCCTACCCCAGCGTCGATGCCTCCGTCGGCCCGCTGAACATCGACTCGCCCCCGGACACCTGGTTGTACGACTGGCAGTTCACAGGCGAGCAGAACCGCGACGTGCGCGGCAACCACAGCCAACTCATCCGTGCACATGGCGCGGCCTCGACCGTGCTGTTGAAGAACGAGCGTAACGCCCTGCCGCTGCGCAAGCCGCGGAACATCGTGATTGTCGGCAACGACGCCGGGCCCATGACGCAGGGAGCCTCGAACCAGAACGACTTTGAGTACGGAACGCTGGCCAACGCCGGCGGGTCGGGCACCTGTCGGTTTAGCTTCCTGTCGACGCCGCTGGAGGCGATCACGGCGCGGGCTCGGCAGGACGGGGCGCTGGTGCAGTCGTGGCTGAACAACACCCTGATCACCACCTCGGGGCTAGCCTCGCTGTGGAACCCGCAGCAGCCGGACGTGTGTCTGGTGTTCCTGAAGAGCTGGTCGGAGGAGAACGAGGACCGGAGCTCGCTGGAGCTGGACTGGGATGGGCCCGCGGTGGTGGAGGCCGTGGCGCGCGACTGCAACAACACGGTGGTGGTCACCCACTCGGCGGGCATCAACCTGCTGCCCTTTGCCGATCACCCCAACGTGACGGCCATCCTGGCGGCGCACTATCCCGGCGAAGAGTCAGGCAATTCCCTCGTCGACCTCCTGTACGGCGAGGTGAACCCTTCGGCCAAGTTGCCCTACGTGATCGCCTACAACGCCTCGGACTACAACGCCCCCGTCACCACCGCGGTGCAGACCAACGGAACCTATGACTGGCAGAGCTGGTTCGATGAAGGGCTGGAGGTCGGATACCGCTACTTCGACGCCCACGGCCTCCCCGTGCGCTACGAGTTCGGCTTTGGTCTCAGCTACACCACCTTCACCCTGAGCGCGTTGCACACCACGACGCCCAGAACCAACCTCACAGCCCTGCCCGCAGCCCTACCCGTTCAGCCGGGTGGAAACCCCGCCCTTTGGGAGACGGTGTACACCCTGAGCGCCCAAGTGAGCAACACCGGCGGCGTGGATGGCTATGCCATCCCGCAGCTGTACGTGGGGTTCCCCGACTCAGCGCCCGCGGGGACTCCCCCGAGCCAGCTGCGTGGATTCGACAAGATCTGGGTGCCCGCGGGACAGACCAAGACGGTCACGTTCGATCTCGCGCGGCGTGATGTCAGCTACTGGGACGTGGTGGCGCAAGACTGGCGCATTCCCTCGGGACGGTTTACCTTCCACGCGGGATTCAGTAGTCGGGATTTCCACGCCAACGTAACGGCTACACTGATCAATTGATCACGGAAGAGTTTATATTGAAGTTCTCGAGGGGATGTATGTAATGTCCAACACGCAAAATAATGCTGAGTCATGAATTGAGAGATGTCTATGTCTTCTATATTGGTTATCTGAACCCCTCACTGGGCGTGGTCCATACTAGTAGCTTAACTCCTAGCGCTGTAGCCCTTACTTCCGCGTGGCAAACCGGCTCTTCCGTCGGATTCTCTTCCCATACCGGAAGAAGATATACCTACCATCACCAAAGTCAGCCCCGAAACACCAGCTGCAGAGCACACCACTCACGGAAACGGAGCCATCACCAGACTCAGAAACGCCAGCAAGGAGGTCGCCCACTGGTTGCCCAGCGTGTGGTACACTGGTCGCCTGTTAGCTTGTCAGACAGCCCAGCGTTGTGTATCATCGGCAAGCGTACTCGGATACCCGAACAGAGGAAATGCAGCCGCAAAGGTGCTACGCGTGAAGCTGTTGGCCCCCAGGGCGCTGGCAGCATACAGGGGATACGCATCCACCAGGAAGGTAAAGACGCCCGCGTAGACCAGGATCATCCTGTATGCAGGAAGCTTGTCAGCGGAGCCCTGATGTTACACCACAAGGGAAACCTTGGATAAGGCTCAAGGGATACTTTACCCTGCTCCAAACAACGAACTCCCAATGATAGGCACCGCCCAATGCACCGAAGGTAGTCTGCTACACGGTCAACATGGGCTCGGGCATACCTCTTTGCACAGGAGGCAAGAAAGCCAGGAGGCGGAAACTCACGCCGTCCAGGCAAACCAGAACAACCCCACCGTCAGCAGCGGCGCCCCAATCACCGCCGGTGGCAGGCGCCGCTCGGGGTCCATCTCGTCAATCTGCTGCAGGATGTTCATCCGAAGATACAACCTGCGACACCTATCACCAAAGGTATCAGACCACTCACTTGGGAATGGGACAAGGAATCATACCAAGGATCAGCAACCAGCGCAGCAACCATCCCCGCCGTGATGCCCGCAAATGCCAGGCCGGACTGCCACAGCCCCCAGTTGTAGACCGTGCCGAAGATAATCTTGAACGAGCCGAAGAACAGGTATTGGATTCCCAAGGCAATGGCGGAGAGAAGACAGAGATTCAGGCACATGGGCTCAAGGAAGAGGAGCATAAAGGGGCGGTAGAGCGAGCGGAGGATGGTCTGGAAGATTAGCCGAGTTGGATATAATAAGCCCTATACTTAAGAAGAAACCGGGGGAACACGCACCATCGAGATCGACCGGTCCAACCGCTCGATCGGTGCCTTCCATCGCTCCTCTCCAGTTTCTCTGCGAAGACGGCGAGCTTTGCTCCGGAGAAGGACGGGGTGGTAGGTCTCCGGCACGAAGCAGAGGACCAGGAGGCATTGGATGGAGGACCAGATGAGGAGAGTGTAGAACGACCAGCGCCTTTACTCAGAAACAGATCCTTGTTTAGATTCCTGGTCCACAAGGCGGCTGACCTACTCACCATGACGCGAATGAATTAATCAAGCCCCCCAGCATAGGCCCGAAACTCGATCCGGTGCTGCCATTATCGCCATCAGCTATCAGTCACCTTTCCTCTTTCCTTCCTCAACCACAAAATCGCCCCCCCCCCCAATTGATCAGAATGGAAAACCCACAACGGCGACGCGGTATACACCAGCATCGGAAAATGCAAATTTTCCTTGGTATACAGATCCCCCACCGTCGCGCCCGCCACACTAGTAAAAGCCGCTCCGGCTAACCCGGTCAACAGCCGCGCCACCAGCATCGTCTCGATATTGCGGGCGACCGCGCAGGGGATCAAGAAGAGGACAAACAGCGGCAGCGAGATGCGGAAGATTGGGCGTCTTCCGTAGAACTCCGACAGCGGCGAGAGCACCAGAGGCCCCCAGCCGAGCCCGCCGATGAACAGGCTCAGCCCCAGGGTGGCGACGATGCGGGAGCAGCGCAACTCCTCGATGATCTGGTGATAGGTGCTGACGTACAAGGAGCTGGTGACGGTAATGCAGAGGGTGGTAGAGCAGATGAGCAGCTCGATCGCCCATTTGCGCCGCGGTGCAAGGCAATGTGGGTTGGCGGGGGCGTCCTCGGGGGCCCAGCGGACTCCGAAGGCGTCGCTGGTAGGCGCCTCGAGGTCGAGGTCGATTTCCGTCGTGTGGGAGGACGCTTCCATGCCTTTCTCGCTTGTTTGGCCTCGAACTAGGAACGCGTAGGCTGGTAGATTCTGGCGAGTAGAAGGGGAAATGCTGCATTGAAGCGGTTGAATTTCATGCTGCGGGGAAGAAGCGATTCCTTAGGAGAGAGAAAGGGTTGGCTGAACGCCACTGATGGTTGGACGGATGTTCGATCGCCCCCCAGAGTCCAGTACCCTCGGAGAAACAGAGTCTCTCTTCTGATTGTTCCGACATGGTGTCATGATCGGCGATTTGTGGTTCTATCGTGAGACCGCCATCTCTCCTGCTATACGAGCTTGGGGTGGGCGGTGGTTGGTTATAACCTATAGTTCAGCTTTCTCACCATCTTCCATTGTCGCTGTGCATTGCATGTCTGCTATGCTTGGATCTTTCTCCGGATTCTCCAGTGACCGTTAACCTGATACCAGGGTGGAATAGGTTGCTTATCGTCCCTTCAGACGATGGGGTTGGCCGACTCCATTCTCGTTGGAAGTAGGGCTAGAAGAAGTCCATGACCTGACCTTGGCTGGTGAAGTCCGCCTACTGTACATCAAATCTTTTAAGTCCTCTCGGAGATGTGTATGTACACTACTACCTCATTCACTCAATACCCTGCGCTTCCTTCCGGCAGATAAGGTCAGACCGTATGATGATGTTGATGATGTCGAGACAACGTCCACCTCGGAGTTACACCGTCCTCCGGCTGTCTGTTCGAGTACCTTATTTTCCAATTGGTCTCACTGCAGCTGCATTGCCGGGGCTGTCGCACAGCCTCCAAGGTCTGTCCGACCCGATGGGCCGGAGTTACTGTCCCAGAAGTATGTTTTCCATTGCCTTCTTGTCAGATACTCCACTGGCTTAGGAATCTGGACGGTGCTGTCTAACATACACGCTGGCTGCATCGATCCATTCCACCCTTCATCCACCAAACAAAACACAAAAGACCAGAATAGACATGTAAGGGTCAGTGGATGAGGATCGCCACGAGTGCGGTGTGCCTTCTTTGTGATGCAATCAAATTCCATTCCCTTATGATATCCACAGTATGACCCTTGACTATCAGCCTCGCCATGGTCATGATAAGCTATTAATCCCCAGTCCATCCGCAAGTGCCACAGTTTACCTTATCCCCAATATACAAATTCCTTCCTCAGCGACCTGGCCATGGATCACATCCCCAATGCAATCCCTTTGCCCCTTTTCAGCCCTTTCAACCCTACAGCTCAGCAGCCCTGCAGACAGCAGCCACCAATTCCCCCGCTCTCGACAGAAACGGACTATGCCCAGCATCCAGCGTCTCCGTCCGAATATCGCACCCCTGCCCGACCCCCTCCACCATTTTTCTCTGCACCTCCGCCGGAATCGCCCGATCCCTTTCACAATAAAGGTACGTGGTGGGCACGACCTTCCAGGCCGCAAAGCGACAAACGCTGGAGAACGTACGATAGCTATGCAATTTCAACTCCGCCACAGCCGCACGCGCCACCGCCTCCGGCACATCGTGGTAAAACACCTCGATCGGATTGCGAGGCATCGCCGCCGTCTGATCCGCCGAGACCTCCACCCAGGGGGCATCGTGGCCGCCGAGTGCGTCGCGGAGCGAGCGGCCCTCGGGAACGAGGAAGGAGCAGCACAGGAAGAGATGCGAGACGCCGCCGGAAAGGTTCGCTTTCCGGCGGGTCTCCCAGTCCAGGTGCTGGATGGCCTCGCTGGCGACGACGCCGCCGTAGGAGTGCGCGAACACGAGGATGCGGTGGCCGGCGGCCGCGAGGCGGAGGATCTGGGTGCGGATCTGCTGGACGTCCTCGGTGAAGTCGCGGAGGTAGTGGTGGTTTTCGGGACCGACGGAGGGGAGGCGGACGGCGTCGGTGGTGTAGGTTGTCGTGGACTGCAGGAGGTCGATGACCTGGCTGAAGCAGCTGGGGTTGTGCCAGGCGCCTGGGACGAAGAGGATGGCGGTTGAGGGCATGGTTGAGGTGGCTACCGATTGGTAAAAGACGTGGAGAATAGTGTATGATGGAGAATAGTCAGGTCAGAGTGACCGGTAGCTGAGGCTTTCTGACCGTCTGAGTAAGTCTGGGTTCTTTGAAGGTATATTCTAGGACGTGGTGGTTGGGATTCTACTCCGGGTGGGTGAGGTTATTGCAGTACGGCTGCAGACCGCACTGGCAAGAATAAGGTAGTGCTTGAGAGATATAGGTCGTGCTCGAACCCGGAGTTTGTGCTCACTTTAAGGCTCAATAGGAGCTCGAAATGACTATGCTCAGGAGAATAAGGGAATGAACTTGTATGACCTGAGAAGATTGCTAGAGGGCCTAATCTCAAAATCTTGAAATTCGAGCCGAGGTGTCTCAGAGAGGACGATGAGCTTAGAATGAAGTGTTAGGTAAAAGAAGAATCCTTCATGCAGTCGCTATTGTAGTGACGCCTGTGAGATGGGCAATACTACCTAACATATTCACAAGCTTCTTATCCGAACTAAACGTAGACTGTGACACAGCTTATCTCCATCTAGCATGAAAGCAAAGCCCACATAGCCCCGTCTCGAGATCAACGAAGCTCAGATCGAGTCCACGTAATGTATCGGTATTGTATCACTAGCATCTCTAGGATCTCCGTCAGAGTGATCACATCGGCCGTAAATAGGCTCACAGGATGGGACAGACTCCGAACCACTACAAATGCTGGGATGAGTAAATCCAGCCGTGGTTCCCATCGCTTGCGAACTGTATGTTAGCTTACGGCGATGCTACTTTGAGAAGTTTGCCCTCAAGCCTCTTCATTCAGCAAGAGCTCTTTACTACTGCTAGGTGATTGGGGCTTCACATTCACACTTCTAGTGCAGCTAATGGATTGATCCAAAGCTTTGTTGTGGGCTCTCTTTGGTGCCATGAGCGAGTTATCATGCAAGTACAGTATACTGTAGAAATGGTCCAGACCTCAGGGTGTAATTCCGTATGAATCTCTCGAAAGGAGCAGAAATCTTACTCCAACGTTTATCGACGTCTTAACAACCAATGATATAGCAAATCAACAAGAATATCGGATCCCAGATCCCGCATCTAGAAGCAGTTCATCTAGGCATATAACCAGCCCGCACCCAAGGAAAGAAAAGCATCACAGCCAAGCACAATCAGAAAATCACCGGTCCCCAAGCTTATCCAGTTCCTCCCCTCTCCCCACTCCCTTACCCCCCAGAAGCATCGTCAACGCGAACCGAATCGCACCCGCAATCTCCCTTACATCTAGCATCGCCACCCAGGCCCGGACCCCCAGCGGTCCCCCGCGATACCGCAACTCCGTCACCGCCTCATAGGCGGGGTTCGAACTCGCCTCGATTGTCGGCAACGTCCTGCGGATGACATACGGCCGGACGGAGTACGCGTAGTGGAAGAACAGGGCGAAAGGCACCATCTGAATGCAGATCACCATCGTGGGGATACCGATGTTCACGTCCGCGTAGGTGAGTTGCGCATTGGGCTTAAGGACGTCTGTCGCTCCCAGCGCGAAGAAGATTATCTATGGCAGTTTTTGTTAGTCTCACTTGACTCCCACATCTACAACGAAGTGCATGGGTGAAAGAGCCGGACGAGCGTACCCGTTCGAGGAAAGACAAGCCGACAATCAGCTTGAAGGCTAGCAACTTGGCGAGAGGCTGATGATTCTTTAGCTGGACCTTGAAGCTCTTGTAGAATTTGAGCACCGAAAACACGGCCGATACGAGGGATAGGTTGAGGAAGATTGTGATCTTGCTTAAATTAGACTGGCGATCACCGGAAACATAGAAGAGAAGCAAAAGGGTGGAGGGGTTTGACTTACCCATAGATGCGCAAAGTAGGGCTTGCTGCTTTCCATGCAGTAGACCCCGGCGGCTTGGGTGATGTCGGTTACGAGGGATGCTAACAGCGCGACGGCCGGGTACTGGAAGATGGCAATCCATGTTTTCTGCAGTGTGTTAGCACCGTCACGTTCCGGATGATGGAGAATAGGACTTACTCGATACCAGCTCAGACTCTCGGTGGGAGACTCACTTCCACTGGGTGGAATGGCCAACGGGGCGAAGAACATGTTCTCGCGGGAGATGGACGGCGCCAGAAACTCCAGCATCAGCAGGTAGAAAATGCCCAGCGCGACGGACTGGAACACGTCGAGCCAGGGCTCCAGATACACATAAACCTCGGGGAAGCAGATTCCGAGCAGAGAGAAGATGGAGTACAAGGGGAGCAGAGTGGAGATCCGCATGATCCTGTGGTCTGTTAGTGCACGGATTGTCAAGGTGAAGGCGGAGGACAACATACTTGAGCTGCTCCTTGGGTTTGCTCAGATGTGTTGCATGCAGGAACATCAATGTGAGAATCGTCACACAAGTGAATGCCGTGCAAGCCCCGGACAGGATCATATTGAAGGTATGGAACGACATGTTATGTAGGAATGGCTGGGAGGCCACTATTGTCCACAGTTAGTCCCGTCTTTTGGCATCAAATGGGGTGACCTGCCTTCTGAGAGCGACTCTGTGGGACATGTGTGATTTGCATGGCTGCTGCTGTCGTGGTGAAAGATACCCATTTCTCAAGAAATATTGAATTGATAGAGCACGGCTGGACGACGGAATCTCCGATGCTGGGTTTGATATGACACAATTGTCAGGAGTAATGTCTTTCTACCCATGTGCAGCAAGCCTTTATATTCCTCAAAGAAGCTGATCGTCCAAGCATTTTGACACAACAAACGTCGGTGTGGCCGTGAAGGAGTGCAATCCTCCAGCATACTAGCATCCTACTCCATAGCATCTTGCATAGCCTGTTGTACCGCTAGTCCATATGCGGCAAGCGAGGCGAGACGGGAATTTATAAGAGGAGCAAGTATAGATTCCTTCATCTTCATCATTGGTCCCCAGCACAGCCGCAAACACCTGTCTCCACTGACACTAGGCAGTTTGCGGCAGGAGGCGCGAGAGCTCCCTGGAAATGATCATCTAAGCTTCAGCAGGAAGACAACTGGGGCCCACCTCCGGGCCCACCTCCACAGCCTTGCACACTCCACGAGGCTGTCAGCCGCAAGACGCAGCATCAAAATCGCCGACACCCTTCTTCAGAAACTCATAAACAGGGGCTCCCTGCAGATTTCGACTGCAGACCAGAACCCTAAGACGCATCCTTCCCACGTGGCAGTGTTTCATGCCCACGTCTCGGGACTTTTTCCACATTCTGTAGACTCTACCACCATTGACCGACTGAGCCCTCACCACCCTCAGTTCACCTTCATGCAGAGCAACCAAGACACCATGAGTCGCAGCCGTAGAAGTAAAGGCTGTCTTGCATGCCGTAAATCCAAGGTTAAGGTAACTACCTAAACGCAGCAACGACCCCCCTCGACCTGATATCCAATGGCCTAACAAGCAATGAACCGCAGTGCAGCGAAGATCAACCGCGATGCGCCCGATGTACTCGCCAAAACATCAGCTGTCACTACCCCGACCCACTGGAGATCGATTTCCGCAATGAGAACACCAAGGCGGCAGTGCGCGCCGTGTCGTTGTGGCGCCAGAGGGCTACTGCAGTGCCGAGTCCAAGCCCTAGTCCACCCCGAGGCGACGACGATCTCCAGCACCACGCATTAGCCACCTTCTACCGCGACTTCGGATGCACGGTCGCCGTTGCCAATCCCTGGCTGGAATTCTTCCAGATGCTGCCCATGCTCCACCGACACCCAGCCGGAAACCCAGCCTCGGCGCAGGCCATTCGAGCCCTGGCCCTGGCCCACCACGCGCGCCAACAGCAACAACGGCAGCGGCAGATCCCGCAGCTAGAGATCCTCGCCCGCACCGAGTACTCCAAGGCCATCAGCCTCATCCGGTCGCAGCTGCAGACCCGAAACGGCGTCCCCGGCACGGATGTCATCGTCTCCGTCTCGCTGATGGGGCTCTTCGAGACCATCCTGCCCAGCAGCGCAAGTGGGGCAGGCAGTGGAGGCGAAGAGCAGCAGCATCGATCCTGGCAGGCACATCAACACGGTGCCATCTCGCTCATTCAGCAGCAGCAGCAGCAACAACAAAAACCTCAAAGATCCCGTACAACAGAAGAGGAAAGCATTGATCCCCGACTGCTCAAGTTCATGTACTTGCTGATGATAGTGAACTGCCTGAACGCGCGCTCCCGACCCCAGCTCCCCTTGCACCTGTGGACGGGGGTCCTCGATCCCCGCCTCCCCGCCGCGCGACTGTTCCGGATGATGTATCATCTCGCGCAGTGGCAGGCCGATCTGGACAGCTGGATGCAAGCCCACGAGAAGCCACGCACCATCTCCAATCCCGCCATCCTCCCCATCGAGGAGATGATCCCCACACTCATGCAAGCCGACCGCGACCTCCAAGAGTGGGAATCCCATCTCCCGCCCGCTTTCCACTTCTACGACCGCCCCGCCACCCCCGAAGACCACCCTCTACTCCAGTGGCCCGGCGCTCCAGGGCGCGTCTACGTCTACGAGTCCAGCTGGCGGGCGATTCCCCGGACCTTCGGGTTTGCGGTGCGGATCCTGCTAGCCCAGAATCTGCTCCGATGTCGACGGTGGATCGCGGAGCGAGATCCCGACCAGTCTGGGGTATGGCTGCGCGACCACCAGGGGGCTGCTCTGGGACTGCTCGAGGAGATGGTGGGCCATATATCCCGCAGTACGAATGCGATCGTGGGGCCAAAGACTGTGGGGGTGGGTGGCGTCGGTGCTGGTCGCGAAGCTGGGGAGGGGGAAGCGATGCGGGGGCTGGCGATTGTGTGGCCTCTCAGCGTGGTGGTCGGTGCGTTGCAGCAGAACCCGGGCGTGAGGGATCGGGTTGGCGAGGAGCGAGCGCGGTGGGTTGGAGATGCTCTGTTGTATGTGCGGCGGCTGGTAGGGAGTCGCGAGAATGACGGATGACGCTGGGGTAGAGGGGGTTGTGCTGGACACGGGTCTCGCTGGAGGGGCACAGATGAGCAATCTTCTTGCCTTGTTATAATATTCCTGCCATAATCCAACATCCAAGGAGACTTCGGTATAGAGGAACTGATATGTAAAGGTCGATATGCGCAGTATATGTCGATGTAACGTCCTTTCAGACTTACGGTCGCAAGAGGCACTTGAAGATTACCTACTTGAGATCCACGCAGGCGACTAGGGGTTGCCCTGAGGCGTTGCATGCTCCTTCTAATGTGTGCCTTATCATGTGTGCACTGGATAGGTCCGACGAACAAGGCCTCGGATAGGGTTATCGGGGCAAAGTCGGTCATCACGTCTCGCTCATCGCTCTGAGTCAGGTTCGAGGATGGGGTGCTCTCACTGTCAAGACCTCAGTGCATGAATAGAATAATCACCTAAATCGTGCCGTTTAGTTCGATTGTGACAGATGCTCACTTCCTGCGAATTCTTCACTGAGCCACCGGTGCTGGTGCTCAAGCTCAGTTTGCCCGGCAATAGCGTAGCTCTCTACTGATGAGGCGTTGGTGCTAGAGAAGAGGCCATCAGAGGGGTAGCAACCGACAGAGAGCCGTGACAATCAGCAACAGGTTGTAAGACGGCGTGTCAACATGCATGGGGCGAGATGGCTATCATCGTGCACTGAAACTGTTGGTGACAAGGAGGTTCTCATCAGTATCATTTTAGGCGTGTCTGCACCACGGTCACCCCAATCCTGAATAAGATTCGGACAAGTGAGGAAGATACAGCGCAGGTCCCGAGTGTGCACAGATTGGGTCGAGCATGGAGGTCTCTCCCACGGCTGTGCTGTTAAGACATTGGAAAGTCTTGCATGTCTCACCACTGATTTCGGCCCGCGCAAATAGAGTCAAGGATGAGGCGCAGCGCAATCTGCCACAAATGCCCTTGTTGGATTGTTGGAGCAACACCTCAGCTGTATGTCTCGCTTCTCCAGGGGTTGGTCCCGCTGAGTGGGCTTGTTGGTGGCCCAGCTTTCCCGTCACCATAGACCTTGATCGCAACCAGTGTCGATTCGTCAATGCAGTGCGAGAATAAAGCATGGGAAGGCTGTTTTCACCAACAATGGTAGCGCTATTTTGGTCCAGTTCTGACGGCCGACCATGACTGGCAGAGCAGTGACCCTTATTCTGCAAGATTTTAATTGGGCTTATGTCTCGGTCGATTCTTTGCAAAGGGTCAGAGGGTCAGGAAAAGATCTAATCTGGAAGCATTCCCTGTCGCTATTTTTGTGAGTGAATCAGGAGTCGGATGGTGCCAAGATGGCCGGAGAAGGCAGGAGAGCAAGCGTATTATGGCTCAACCAAGCCGTGGGATTCCCTCCGCCACCCAACGCGGGGTATTGAGTCCTCAGCAGCTGGATGGCAGGGTGGGAGCTTCTCATGGGGGCCGTGTTGTGCTGACATGGCGAGTATGTGGTGGTGTAGTGTTGGAGTGTCACTCTCCGAGTGGCCGCAACGACAGCGGTCGATCGCTGCTCGGCTAGGGGGGCGGAATGGCCCACTGTTATCACCGATGCTCAAAGTCATCGAGACATAGTTATGGAGATCGGAATAGTATAATCCAGGAGAAAGGGGCAATCATAGGGGCAGGTAGCCAAGGAACCATGTTCAGTAGTCTGCGGGACTGGAGAAGACCACAAGTTCACCAACAGATGTCGCATGTTTCAGCAGAGAGACAGAACACAACCTAATTGAATGCATGCATGACATGACCGGGCATTCTTCAGACTGCAGATGCCAACAACCCGGTGGGCGGGCGGATGAGCGGACGTTTGTCTTTTCCAATCCGGCCCCTGGACAAAGCAAGCTAGTTAACTAGGTAAGGAAGGTATGACTAAGAGACTTGAGGTCGAGTCTTTGATTCGGAAGTGGGTTTGGAAACTAGAATGAATCTGAAACCGGGAGCCCCGAGGTTCACCGAAGAAAGACACCTGAAACCGACCCCATTCTGCCTTAGGTAGAACGCACGGTGGTTGACCCACCCACCAGCTCGTCATTGGGGCACCAGACCAGGGCACTGGTGGTAGGCAAATTCCTTGTCTTTATCTTGGAATATACCTTGCCATGAAGGTAGTCAGTTGAGGCGTAGTTGAGATGTGATGTGCAGACACGAGGATAGATCCTTGAGATCCTTGAAGAAAAGAAAAGAGGGGAATAGAGGGGAAGTGATGAGTCTTTTTACACGCGGGCTTTGTTAAGCTCACTCGGAAGAAGGGCAGCTGAAGGCTCAAACCAGGCACAACCAGGCACTGCCAGGCACTGCCAGGCAGTCTGAAACGGGTGTCACTTCCGGCGACTAGTCCCAGTAAGGCTTAGTCCACTAGCCAGGATCGCCCGTTTCAGGGCTCTGATTGGTTGCAAGGATCTGAACCGGCCTGAGGGCCACGAACCAATGGGAACGCCAGATCGGCTTCGGCTGCATCCGTGCGGGCGGTCCGATGGCTGCTGATTGGTGCTGCTTGGGGGCGTTCCAGCACAAAATCCCCCGACAAGAGCATGTTTAACTCCCATTGGGGAAAATCCATTGTCCCCATCACAGGCTGCCCCCTCCATCCAACAAACGTGATAGAGCGTTTTTGCAGCTTGGGTACCTACCCTAGCAGTTCCTCGTTCCTGCGTGTCTGGGCCTTTCTACACCGGAGTAGGTCAACAGGCACATCCAACAGGCACCGCACAGGGGCCGCAGGAACGAACTCCCTGGTGCCCACTGTGGCAGCGAATAGACTTTCCTGTTGGACTCGCTTCCTCCTGCAACGATGGGCTTTTTTCTTCACAACGACGGGCGTATAAAGGCCTCGTCCGCTACCCCTCAAGATGCATCTTCCTTCTCATCATCCTCCATTCCCTCGTCAACTTGCAGTGCAAGCTTGCAGATTCTAGTCGTTCACGACATCGTCATTCCTTATTCTTTGCTTTCGGAGACTATTGACTAGTCCCCATCACATTCCTTCGTTCACTTACTCTCTCGCTCTCTCTCAATCAATCACATCCTTGCAGGACCCACAACTCGCTTGATTCTGTCTGTTGATCTTCTATAACCCTACAACCAAAACAGTACCTTCACCAAAATGCAGTTGAACAACTTCCTTCTGGCCGCCGCCACTCTGGTCGGCCTCTCCGCCGCTGTCCCCATGGGCAGTCGGACTAAGAACCTGGCCACCCGCGCCACCAATGCCGTGGTCAGCGTCAGCAGCCTGGCCGCGACCACGCTCAAGGACAACGACGGCAGCGGAGCCGGACAGGATGTCTACACCTTCCACACCGGAGACGGCAGCGTCGCCGACGGCTGGCCCGCCCAGTCCAGCTGGGTCTCCTTCGACGACATGTGGAAGGCCAACAAGCCCACCATCATGGAGTCGTGCACCCAGTTCGGCGTGCCCAACAACTCGGCCAACGAGACCCAGAACCTGTACGACGCGATCCAGCAGGTGGCCAAGGAGTCCCACCTCGACCACCGGTTCATCCTGGCCATCATCATGCAGGAATCCAAGGGCTGCGTCCGCGTGCACACCACCAACTACGGCGTCCGCAACCCGGGCCTCATGCAGGATCATGATGGCGCCGGCACTTGCAACGACAACGGGGTGGTCCAGAACCCGTGCCCCAAGAACGAGATCCTCCAGATGGTTCGCGATGGGGGTGAGTGTCCCTTCCAACCCTCCCAATCTCCTTTCAGCGCAGACACTAATCCCCTCCTCTCACACAGCCATCGGAACCGCCGCCGGCGACGGACTGGCCAGTCTGATCGACCAGCAGGGCAAGACGGACGTCTCCGGCTTTTACCGCGCCGCCCGCCTGTACAACTCGGGCTCCATCTCCGACGCCTCCAACCTGAACGTCGGCGTCGGCACCGCCTGCTACGCCACCGATGTTGCCAACCGGCTCACCGGCTGGGTCAACGCCGCCTCCAAGTGCACCCTGAGCTCATAGGCTCGTCGTCAGTCTTCTCGACGGAATGTTGGATGTCACGGGTAATTCCGCCTGTGGGCGGGCTTAGGATGAAATAATGGTTGATTCCCTATTTGCTATGCTGGATTGGTTTAATATGTTTGATCGTTTGGCTTTACCTTTCTTGCTCCACCAGCATGGATTGGCTACCCTAGTCTTTAGGGCTGAGGCTCATGCTCGGTGATGAACTTGGTGCGATGTCGGAGATGTATGTATACCGCGGCTAGAATCTACTTGTGCTTTGCTTGCTTGTATGGCTGGTTCTCTTGGTGTCTGATAGGGTGTGCTGGTATTGACTATGGTGTGGGGACCTAGTAGTATGTACCGTATCATGCGGGGATGCTGTAGATCAATTAAGGTCTGGCTCTGCGCCGCGTCTACTTGTATACGGATCCAACACTTTCGATCTGGTCTGGTGAGTGAGAGCATGGTCGGTATTGATTCCATGCTAGAGAACCAGTATATTCTGTCAACCGCAACGATGGAGAAGTGCTGGGTGCCGAAAGTGGTGCCCCAGGCATCGAGGCCGGCCGGACAATTGGTGACACAATTGGTGACACCACCTCAGGCATCAACCAGCATGTTGCGACCGAAACAGGTAGGTCATGTGATTGAGTGATGGCGCTACTGGTGCGCTACAGCCAGTACATCATATCTGTGGTTGCCTGACGCATTGTCATTGTGGGGATTGATAGCGCGTGAAAGGATCACCTCCCAGATTGGAGTACCAAGTAATGTGGTAACAAGCGCATGAGGGCGAGTTGACCAAGACGCAAGATGCTAACTAGGGTGGAGGGTCCGGACGGGACCACATATATATCGTCCCACCGGCATATGGTCAGTGCGGAAACGGTCGCAATACTAGCGGGGGATGCGACAATAAAGGACTCACAGGCATCGAGTATTGTGACACATGAGCTACGTAGAGAAGAGGTAGTCGACAATGCCAGGACAATCTTTCATAGCAATTGACACAAAAGAGCAAAGGAAAGGAGATGTACTGAAAAGAATTCTGGACATGGACTTACAAGATAAAAAACAAAAAAGGAATCTCCCCGACTGGGAGTCGAACCCAGGTCTCCCGCGCTTGTTCCCGGACGGGATTGACAAGCGGAAATCATGACCGTTAGACCATCGAGGAAGCGGATGAATTACCTCTAATTATCTGCTTCTATAAAACAAAAACAAGGAATAATGCCAAATCCACTATGGCTGCAGTCGATAGACCCTCGGTCGTGGGAAACAGTATAGGTATTATCTTCCTACTCGAGCCCGTGGCCAATCGTCTTATTGTTAACTCATCCAGAGCGGGCTACAGTCTACAAGTGAGGGAGAGACAAGATAATGGATAACAGATTGGATTAACTATTAGCGAACATTATCGTAAGGAATGACACCCAGTGCTCAACAGAAGAAGACATCAGAAGGAATGAAAGTGCAACCATCTTCTTAATCAACCAGCGCAAGAAGAGAAAAACACAGAACAAGTTGAAAGCCACAGATTCGATCGCTATGCTAAAACTTCGACCGGTCACAAATTCTCATCTCGTGGCGTCGCGTCTCGCCTCGCTCAGCTCATCTGGTGCCCGCCATTTACTCAATGGTGATCTTCTTGGAGGTGGGCTTGGCGGCCTTGGGCACGAAGATGGAGAGGATGCCATTCTTCAGGCTAGCCTTGACACTGTCCTGGTCGACGCGGGTGGGGAAGCTGAAGGTGCGGTGGAACTCGCCGATGGAGCGCTCGCTGACCCAGAAGTGCGGCTTGTTCTTGTGGTTCTTGCCGACCTGCTTGTCGCCGGTCCTGGTGACCTCCGTGCTTTCGCTGGCCTTCTCCTTGTCCTTGTTCTCCTGGGTGGTGGTCTCCTGCTGGCCCTCCTCGCTCTCGTCGAAGTTGTGGTACTCGCGTTCGGTGCGACCCTTGATCACGAGGGTCTGGGGGTCGGAGAACTCAATGTCGATGTCCTTCTGGGCAATGCCGGGCAGCTCGCCGTCAAGGTGGTAGCCCTCCGCGGTCTCGCGGACGTCGAAGCGAGGCGCGAAGGAGCGGGCGGTGGTGGTGGAGGAGCTGGCGCCCTGGCCGGAGCGGTGGAGGTCATAGTCGTCCAGGAGACGGAAGAGAGGGCCGAATTCACCAGCGGAAGGGATGCTGCGGAAGAGAGACATGGTGGTTGTAGTAACGGGTTGTGGATATAGAGAATAGTTTGTAGAAGAGCGCGTTGTAGTGGTAGTAGTGGTGGTAGTTGTCGAGGAGTAGAGAAGTTGTTGTTCTCGTTGATTGCTTGCTTGATTGATTCTGATCTGATGAAGACCAACTTGACCGGAGCTCAAGGGGGCCTTTATACCTTTCGACAGCCATCATTGAGAATGTTGATGATGCAACAGCAGGGGATGGATGATCCATGGATGGGTGTTGCACTCTTGCACTCGACAGCTCTAGATGGCTCTGGAAGGTGCCTGAGGCAGCCAGCGCGGGTGGCCTTGGAAGTTGCGAGAATCGGCCGGACCGGCCGAGTGGGTTCTGCGATGCTCTGCGATTCTTCTGGCCGCTTCGACTCCGACCACGTGACCCTCCGGTTATCGTGCTGCCTTTCAGCTCTCCAGTGCTCCTGTGCTCCTGTGGTGCAACAATCATTTTCAACGTGATGTAATAGTATCATGCCATTCTATGTTCTGGCCGGTTCTGCATTCTATAACAGCATTGCTATTGTTATGACTATACTCTATCACCATAGTCCCTTTTCTCCATCATGCATCAGTTTAGCTGCGTAGCCAGTGCGATCGGCGCTGTCACTGCTCAGGAAGACCCCGGATGGACAGCTCTAGAATCAAAATCACCAGACCTTAGTCCTTGCCCGCCCCAGCCCTAATCAAGGAATCTCATGGAGCTCGGGAAGCACTAACCGAGACCCCCTCCCCTGGTCGCGTCAAATCAGTAGGAAATATTGTGCTATTCAGTAGCTTACCCCAGCCAGCTATTACCCTTGGATCCTGGTTCCACCGTACATCGGTCTCGTTGTTTGCTGCTTCGGTGGCAAATGATCCAACAGAAACCGAGAAGCCCATGGAACCGAGTATTGGAGGCTAGACCAGCCCGTGGAAAGATACGACTCGGATCGACACCCTCTTGGTCAACCACGGGATCCCAAATCAAGGCATCGGGGTTTGCTTGGGATCGTGGTTGGAACCACGGGTGAGAACCGCAGCTTGGAGTGTTGTGACGTTGTACAACTTGCCCATGTTGTAGATGCTGGGAGAACCTTCGATGCGGGGTTCAATGTCGCATTTTCGACTGCTGGCTCCAAGATGAGGTGATAGTGGCAGTGGCAGCTAGCTATCTTGACCGAGCGATTGGTGAAGTCATCCAGCGTGACATGTGATATCTAGTGGGAAGAGTAGTCGTTCAAAACGTATCATGTAGACTTGGTCGAGCCTCCATGGTCAGGCTTTCTTTTGAATGAATCGGTAAGAGTGGAAAAGTACAGTTTATGAGATACGAGGTGAATCTTCGATAGAGGTCATCTTACAACAAGCTATGCTATGCTCATAAGTTTGTGTCTTTGTTCGAGATAGGAGAGAACGCTGGAGAAATTGAACGTCAGACATGTTAAGTGTCAGACCAAAGCGTTGACAGCTCTATCACCGAGGGGTCGATCACTCGAAGTGGTCCGAGCTTCATTCAAGAATTCTGGTCTTGTATGGTCTCGGACCCTGGGCCACCGGTCCCGCAGCATGTTTCTTCCTTCATTAACTCTGTCGAAAGGAGGGCAACATGTCATCTAAATGACCTGCAGCTTCCGACAGCACAGCCACACAGACGCGCGCTCTTGGCGCTCTTGTCCAGAAGACCTTGGGAAGAGACTTCAAATTCGTCACCACGAAGCATTGAGGCACTGCTTCCGCTGTTATCAGCCTGTGAATCCGATCAACATACCATGTGGCTTCTGGAAGGATGCCAAGAAGCGATGCAGCCTGCTCGACACGGACTTCTGTCACCAATAGGGAGCAGCGTGGGGAAGCTGTATGGGAGGCTGTGCTATGCCAACGGCCCTAGCCACGTACTGCACCAAGACCGCCCAATGTTGGAGTGATCGGATCCCATACATCTTAGTCAAGATAACCAGGTACGAAATGTGCAGTACGAATTGAATGCGCATTGCATAATGCCGAAGAGGAGGCAGTGCCGGCCGGGCCAAGCACGCGATGGCTATACAACCGTCTCTGAATCCCGCTGCCTGAGGAAGCCACCAACATGAGCCACAGCAATCCCTAGCCTAATTGGAGTTTCGGCGCTGATCTGCCGAGAAAGATCGTGTCGATAGTCCATGCCCGTGGAATTCCTCACCGATCTGCTTTGTGAACGACCGTTGCCGTCAGGCTTCATGCAAATCTCCTATTCCCGTGGATCCTACCTGTCTTCCAGTGCTGGCGATCATCGAGAATATGGATGCCTACTGCACACCATGTGCCAGCATCATCAGAGCTTCCGCGACCATCTTTGACGTGACGAGATGATTGGTTTATGATACGAAGATGCAGATACGGGGCGAGCTGCTACGGCCATTTCCACAGTATGTATACTTAAAAGCGGGCACTCAGGCTTCCTGCAGAATGCTTCGTCGACCCCGTTCAATTCTCCGCATTTTGGCTTGAGTTGGCTTCCTAGTATATACTCGCATGCTGCGCTACAGCTCCGCTTGGCCGGACAATGTCGATGCCACGACAGACAGTGGGGATTATTCTGATCCTCTTCGTCTCCCTATCAACATGCGTCGCAGCCGAACCGCAACGCTTCAGCTCCTGGTGGCCGAGGTACCGGAGCGCAATCAACACAATCAAAACCACAAATTGCTCCGCGCAATACGACGCATACCTGACCGGAGACCAACCGGTCGGAAACCTGACCGCGAATGACCCCGAGCTTGCGATCTGGCATGTTGACAGTGCAGTGACCCCGTTCACCAACTGCCTGCTGCGGGCCACGCCGGAGCTCTACAAATCCATGATGGCCAGCGCACAGGTGGTGCTGGGACTGATGCCCACGCTGCTGGCTAGCATCAGCCCCAGCGCCCACGAGACGGCTATGCTCTTCGTCTTCGGCGACCGCCAGCTCCTCTCGTTCCTCCTCATGGTCGCCTCCCCGGCCAGCGCGGTCGACGCCTCGGGCAACCTCCACCAGCACGTCCAGGACCTGAAGGGCTCCCGCGAGTGGCTCTCCGCCGAGTCCTCCTCGCTGTTGCTGCATCACAACCTCGCCATCGTGGTCCTGGAGTTCTTCCTCGCCGCGGCGGCGGCGGCCAATGTGCTGGTCCTCGCCTACGAGATCTGCCTGCGTGTCATCTTCTCTTTCGCCCAACAGTTACAGTGGATGCCCGGACTGTGGGTCGCCATCGGCGTGACCACCCACCTCTTGATGACCGTCGCGCTGCGCACACGCGTGCGCATTCGCAACAGTCGGACGAGTAACATCAGCCTTCTCACTCGGGTGCTTCGATGGGTGCGAGCGCAGTTCACCGCGTCGGACAGTAGCAGCGACGCGACCGAGGTTCAGTTGCGGGACCGCACTGTAGATAATGTGCTGATCTCCTGGTTCACGGGGCTACTTGCCGCGGCCAACACGCTCCTTGGGATTCTGCAGTTCTCAAGCATGCTTTTTATCTCCCCCAACGATGCTCTGTTCATCGTGGTGCGGTTCGTGGCCTCAGCAGTGGTGTGCCGGATCCTGGTAAAGTACGAGCTGTGGCTTGTGCGACAACAGGTGAAAGTAAGTGGCAGTGATGATGGTGAACAGGTGAAAGGGGATGTTTCGATGGGCTAGTTGTATCCCTCGATCTTGCTGCGCTGTATCATATCCTTGATCTCTACTAATGTTTGATTTCTACTTGCAAACCTGTAAGCCTGGGAGGATTGGCTGTGAAGGCGGAGGCCATAGCGTCTATCGCCACCTCGTATTCCTCTTCCTTCTTCGTCACGCCGGCATCACACGAGTCCGTTAGGAGGGCTGTGCAGCGGCGATCGGCTCGGGCCTTGCCCTAAGCTGCCACCATATAAGCTTGAGGCACACTGATGCACGCGCAAGATATGATTTGTGGGTCTAAAGTTCGCCAAAGAGCCCCAATACTGTCGACGGGACACGTCCACAACTCCCCCATTGTCCAGAAGGCTATATCCAGTCATTTATTCTTTTCATCTGCTGAGGCTGATCGATGATCGACAAAAGTCCGTGATTCCCGCCCCCGGAAATACCAGCCGGATGTCCGACGGACTTTGCTCATTGTCGGCCAGCCATGACTAACTAAGTCGGACTAACTTGTAATCTATCGTGAGAAGACTATTTCTTCAGCCTAGCTACACTAAGAAAAGACCCTGAATCCTAGATTCCAAGCCGCAACTCGATGACTCGCTTGGTCCACGATAAGCCCGCCGTCGAGGCGGGGACCAAAAGCAGTATAGCCTCAGCTTCCTTCGCCAACCCTATAAAGTGACTCACAGCACCATGCATTGACAAAATCACGAGAATATCCTGATCCCCACTCATCTTCCTGTCTCCTTATTCTTCAATCCTCCCCGCAAAGCGGACAGAACAAAAAGAGAAAATGTCCTACCTCCAATCCGCCCGCCTCACCTACCGCGCCCTGGAAGACACCCCGGAAGACGAAGACTTCCTGCACGCCATCCAATCCGACCCGGAAGCCTACGCCAACTCGACGCCCGCCTTACCCAGACCGCAAGCCAAACGCGACACCGTCAATGGGTACAAGAAGTCCCTGATGGAGCGGGCGCTGCTGGCAGCCATCATCGTGCTGCCGCATCCCCCGTCGAATGGCGAAACCACCCTTACCTCCAATGCTGCAGAGGACACCCCAAAGATGCAGACGCAGATAACCACCCCCGGGACCCCGATCGGTGTGATCTCCCTCCGCCGCGAGGGCGGGGACTACGCCCACCACCGCGGCACCTCGATCACCATCGACATCGCCCGTGGGTATCGCGGTCAAGGGTACGGCAGCGAGGCGATCAACTGGGTGCTGCACTGGGCGTTCCGGCGGGCGGGGCTGCATCGCGTGGAGATCCAGGCCCTGGCGTACAATGAGGGAGCGGTGCGGTTGTATGAGCGGTTGGGGTTCACGCTTGAGGGCCGTCGGCGGGAGGCGTTCTGGCACGATGGAAAGTGGTATGATGACGTGGTGTTTGGGATGTTGGAGCGGGAGTGGGAGGAGAGGCAGGCGCGGGTGCAGTCGGTATAGACGGGGAAATGAAGATGATGAAGGGGCTGTAGCGCAAGAGGAGTTGGAGAATACGGTGTCTGGGTATTATCCCTACCGTCTGCGACATCTTCTTCTTCTTGTTCTTCCTCTTCTTCTATTTTTCTTGGATCAGCTCTTGGGAAAAGCTGTACATAGATTGGTTGGAAGCCAGGAAGAAAAGGAATGGCATTACAGTAGATGATTGTATATACTCAGGGCAATAAGTGAATTTGTTTATCTCACGTCCCAGTCAAAGGCTGCTTGTACACCACCCCGTCCACCGTCGTGACGAGGGTCCCGTTGGCCACGAACACATTGAGCATGGCATCATCGACGACGTGAAACCCCCCTGGTCCAGTGACCTTGGTGCTGTATGTGGCCCCCGTGGCAGTCAGATTCGAATACCAATCCAGCCGGGCCGATGTAACCGACAAAAAGGTGGAGGCCACCGACTCGTGTCCCTGGATATAATGCACGCCATCGTCGGAGTAATTATGGTACGTGACAGCGACAAAGTCAAGAGCCGGCGCAGTCTTAGTGTTGCGAAGAACCACGTCCGCTGAGCCCGAGACTTGCCCGTGAAGCGTATAGTTGCCCGAGGGTAGGTTGAAGACTTCCGGCACGCTCTCGCCAGGGGTATAAGGAAGGCCCCAGGGGACTCTATCGGCGACTGGCTCCACGGGGTCAAGATGGTAGGGCTGGCGACTGGTGAGTCCCGCCATCATCAGACGCGAGGTTCGGCCGCCTGGCTCCGTCGACTTGGGACATGGTAGGGGATTGATCCCCCCGCAGGCAGGGGGCACGACCATCTTCTGCCAGTACATGATGCGCGTGCCATCCGGAGACCAGCGGGGATCAGCGCCGGCGTTCCAGGTGGGGTCGTTGATGCTGCCCGGCTGGCCGTCCCCGCCAGCGTTGATCTGTTGGCCGTAGTAGTAGTCGTCAGGACCATCGCGGTCTCCCTGGGCGTCCAGCAGCCACGGCCGGAAGAATCGTCGATCGCCATTGTTGCGCACCGATGCGACCGTAGTGACCGTCAGCAGGTCGACCACAGGAGGAACCCCGCGCATGGCAGACAGGAACTCCATGCGATCCGTGCCACGCGTGTCCAGGATCACCTGCCAGCGGCCATCCGGTGAAACCCCTACCGGGTCCACATAGCCTGGGTGCGTTGTCACCCGGCGCACCCGGCCAGTAGTCAGGTCGGCCGCGAAGAGATCGATGTTGCAGGATTCCCAGGGGAGTCCAATGTACAGGACTTCTTGTCCGCGACTGGCAAAGCCCCGAAACTCCCCCACCACTAATGCCTGGCGGTTGATCTGCAGCTGATCGCCGGTGACGGTATAAGGAAGGAGACCATTTGGTGCAACCAGGACGGTTACGTTGACGAGGTCGTATCGCGCGGCGCGAGGGAAACCCGTGGCAGGGGAGTCGCTGAACTGCAGTCGACCGAAATAGGCGTGTTGACTGAGCTGTCCCGATCCGGTGACGGAGAAGGAGTTGAAACCCAGGTGGACATTGTCGGGGTGCAAGCGCAGCTCCCGGATGATGGCTCCAGACCCGGAATCGTCGGCCGTGTTGCCTAACCGGATGGGATAGATGTGGATCTGGTCCGGAGTGCATGCATCACTGGCCAGAAGGCCAGATCGACATTCGACGATGTTGTTGCCGGCTAGGGCTCGTTTGCCGTCGGAGAAGGCTTGCGGGTAGTCGGCCAGCGACGAACTGCTCCCTTTATTGCTCTCCGGGACACCGCACGTCAGGCATTTCCACGGGCTTCCGGTAGAGAAAGTGGTCCCGTTGGTGCTGACCAGGATCAGTTGGACGCCAGTGTAGATACTGGCGGGGTCTGGGGCTGACGGTGCCCCGGTGAAATTTAAGCTGACGAGGACGTGGTTCCCGTCCGGCGAGAAGTCCCCGCCGTTCATCAGGGATGATTTGCCCATACATCCTGTCCCGTGCGGATTCAGATGGTGAGTACAGGCGCCAATCTCGTCGGTTGGCACCACAGGTGGCAGTGGCAGTTGGACCACTTCGATGGGCTCTGGTGAGGGTGGTTCGAAGCAGGTCGATGCGACAGATGCGAGACCGGATGAGGTCAATCCCAACGAGATGGGAATGATTCCTCCTCCAACAGCCATGAGACGCATGGTTCGAGTTGGAAGGTTGTAAATGAGAGTGGAGTGAAGGTAATGGAAGATGAGATCAACCAGGCGTACCGTCTACATGTACTTGATGAATCAAATGAATCAATAACTTAAGGTATGGAGTATGGAGTCGGACCCTCCCGACCCTGCCGCATCGGGCAATCAATGCGATACGCGTATGCACGGACCAAATCGGATATCGGATAAGGGGTAAAAATTCAGCCAATCCACAATTCACATGTACGTACGTAGAGAATAGAATCAGTTAATAATACGCGCTTGCACAGACCATTTTCCGCCTTATATGTACAGTATGATGCTCTATACGCGTTTAGAGCTCGCGGTCACAGCGGAAGCTCCTACCCGGACTCATTTCGCTTGATCCCTTAGAATCTAGTCGATCTCTCAACAACAACAACAATGTAGGATGTATTGAAAATTGGTTAAAATCATGGGCTTTCTTCTGATCCCAGTGATTCCAACTTCGACACACCGTAACACGCTGTGAACTTGTCGAACCTAGTCCTAGTCTATGCTAAATGGCTAAGCTCGAGCCGTACAAACACGGATACTACCTCTGGCATTATCTGCCTTCGCTGGCGGCCGCCGTGATTTTTGCTATCTTCTTCGCGGTCGCGACAGTGCTACAACTTATCAAATTGGTCAAATGGAGGGCTCGTCTTGCCTCCCCTTTGCAATCGGCGGAATATGTATGTGCGCCCCCCCCCCCCCCCCCAACCAAATGTCCCAGTTCTTGTTGTCCTCTCGCCACGTTGCCTGATGTCAAGAGCTGAGGCTGACAGAAGGGCCTTTTAGGGTTACTTACTGCACCGGTGTTTTCTTCTGTAATATTAGTCAGGGGACCCCGCCGCCTTTTGCTTCTGCCGATCGATTCTGGCATTCTTGGAACCTCATCTACGTAAAAGTGTACAGGTATCTTATTTGCAACCCCGACGGCTTTGGCTTTCTATGTGATGGCTCGCAGAAAGCACAAGAAATCACGATTTGGCTGCTTAGAGTGTAAACGTCGACGTATAAAGGTACCGCACCTTACCTCTTCTCCCTTGAATCGTTAAGCTTTTCAGCTTTGGAGTGGCACTGAATCGTCTGGAAGTGCGACGAAAGACGGCCAACATGCTCGCAATGCACAATATCAGAACGAACCTGCGGGTTTGCTGAGCTGCATGCCCTGTTCTTTCTACCGGCCAGTCCTAGAAAGCAAACGCCTTCAATCTCAGTATCCCCAGCAGAAGAGGCATCATCGACGAGTTTCACCAGCGGGGAAGCGCCTGATGAGCCACCGGTTGACATGCTTCATGCTGAGCTGCTTTGCCACCTATTCACCGAGACTCTTCCATCTGTTTGCGACAACAGCAGTTATCAGATGATCTGGTCCTCACCCGAGATTCTCCAGTACTGCTTCAAAGTCCCATACCTCGCAAATGAGCTTTTGGCCCTCGCCGCCACGCACATCAGTGTCATCCGCCCTGCCCAGCGGGAGTTCTACCGGGATCATGCCACTCAATTACAGATCCATGCCCTGAGAGCCTTCTACAGCGCAGCCGATCCGGGCATCACGCCTCGTTTTCTCTTCTCCTCCATCCTCGGCTTGCACACGCTCTGCGTAACCCTCCTCTTCCGCGATACCGACTTCAGTGTCTTCCTCGATTCATTTGTTCATTATCTCCGCTTACATCGCGGTGTACGCACTGTTCTCGGAGGCAGTTGGCGCGCTTTGAGGGAGACCACAGCCCTGGGGCCGGTATTGGGCGCCGCGGAGTCTCAACTGCAGACGGATGGGAGTCTTGGCCCGGCGTGCAGTCGCCTGCTGACACTCGTCCAAAAGGCCAAGTTGGGTCCCTCCGTCACCGCAACGTACCAACACGCGATCGAAGGGCTGCAGTTGGCGATGACCGCAGCAGCCTCTCCCGGAGCGTGGGCAGACTGCACTCCGGCGGTTCTTGCGTGGCCGGCCAGTGTTCCCTTGGAGTACATCGATCTTCTCGCGCGCCGTAGCCCCGATGCTCTCGCGGTGTTGGCGCATTACGGGATCGTCCTGCACGCACATCGCCATCGCTGGTTCTTGGGCGATGGCGGACGGTATCTGATCGAATCCATTCGGGAGTCGCTCGGACCTGACTGGGCAGAATGGATGATTTTTCCCGGTCAGGCTCTGGAGACTACAGATACGCTTGGTCCACCTGAAGGGGCGGTAATTGTTCCAGATGAAGGGTATAATGGTCTAGGCGCCTGAGCTCGCTGGATACCATTCGAAGATGGAACCAACATTGCACAGGAGTTATTGTGATAAAATTGATCCCTGCGCCATTAGGCGATCAACTTATAATCAATGTTAGCGGTTTTCCCTTGTCTCAATCCTCGAACTCGTCTTTTTCGCCACTTAGGGGTTCATGGATTGTACCGGAGTTTGTGGATACGCGTATGCACAGACCACTCAGTCACTCACTCCACCCCTCTTAGGGTTCGTATGCATGGGCCATGTTTGTTATTCACCAATCGCAGCTGCAGGGGTTACCTCTAGATATTTACGATGTCAATCTTGTGTCTAGGTCCTTTGGTCCTTTATCAAGTAGTTTCAAATTCCCCGGTAGTACCCCGATGCGTAGTTCTCATGTACTAAAGAGCTGCATGGTTAGCGAGGAGACTTTACACCTACCCGTACGATATTTGAGCCCTCAGGTATAGTCTTATATTCAGATTCAGATTGTGTGGTCAAGCCTCACGAGAATCGGGGCCTTTATGGGTATGTCCGAGATCGGCTTTAATTACCCGGAGCGCCACACGCCACAGCCGAGAGGCTGACGCGTCCAGGAAAGGATCGACGGGGTCAATCAGGGGTTGCGCTGCCGGGCGCAAAGATTGAAATTCTCGTCCGTTCACTGAAACGTGGCCGAAGTCGTCATTTTGCCCTTGGATTGTGCGAGCACAATGGTCGACATGGAGTCAGAAAAACGCCCTCACCATAGCATTGTGCTGGTGCCTGAGCCCAGCCACAGCCCCCAGGATCCACTGGTAAGTGAGACATGGGTCCTATCACTCCCCCTAATGGCTGACGATGATGACCCTTAACTGACTTGGCGATGGTCTTACCCCAGAATTGGCCACATCGACGCAAGTACCTGATTCTGGCCGTGCTCTGTCTGGCTTCATTCTCGGGGGCCATTGCCCCGCTGTCTGGCCAGTTGAATCTGGTCCAACAGGCTCAGATCTATGGCAAGACCAAGGTTCAAGAGTCGTATGCGGTGCGTGCCTTTTTCTTAAGATTGCAAGATGTAGTGTCTCCTCTCACACAACCCCGCAGAACTCGGCAGCCCTAGCCGGGATGGCCTTTGGGCCCTTCTTCGTGGCACCCTTCGCCCACCGACTCGGCCGCAGCTCCGTGATCTTCTGGAGCATCGTGTGCACCCTGGTCTGCCAGATCTGGGCGGCCGTGATGACCCACTCGGACGAGTATATCGCGTACGTGATGTCGCGCCTGTTCGCCGGGTTCTTCGGGGCGGTGCCCACCGTGATCGGACCGCGCATGATCACCGACCTGCTGTTCCTGCACCAGCGCGGACGCGCCTTCACGGCGCTGCACATGGCCTTCCTCTTCGGCACCATCGCGGGCCCAACCTTCTCAGCCTTCATCTCGGCAGGGACCTTCTTCCCCGTCGAATTCTGGTGGACCGTGGGCCTCCTGGGCGCCACCGCGATCCTGATCCTGCTCTTCCTCGAAGAAACCGCCTACGACCGCGAGCACCCCGAACGCAATCGCACCCCCCCAGCCAGCTGGCTGGCCAACCGCCGAGCCACCTTCCTCTTTGGCCAGGCCCTCATACCCCCAACCCCCTGGTCGACCACCGCCAAGATCGCCGTGGCCCCCGTGCTCATCGGCCTCTGCCCCGTCACCCTGATCATGGGCACCTTCACCCTGATCTCCTTCGGCTTCTACGTCGGCATGAACGCCCTCGTGCCCGTGTGGCTGCAGCGCTCCCCGGCCGAAGGCGGGTACGGCTTCACCCTCCGCCAGAACGCAGCGTTTACCTTCTGCCACTGGATCGGGATCCTGCTCGTGCAGCTGGGGGGCCACCACTACGCCGACCGGTTGCCGCTGCTGCTAGCCCGGCGCCGGTCCCCGCAGGGCATCTGGAAGCCCGAGTACCGGCTGCACGTCCTCTGGCTCCCCAGTCTGGTGCTCAACCCGATCGGGCTGGGCCTCTTCGGCGCCACCCTGCAGTACCACCTGCATTACATGGTGCTGGCGCTGGCGGTGTTCATCGTGACGGTGGGGTCGCTGGCGAGCGTGCCGGTCACGGTGAACTACGTGGTGGAGTGCTTCACGCGGTACCCGGCCGAGGCCGGGATCGTGGTGGGCGCGTATCGGATCGTGTACGGGCTGACGATCAGCTTCTACATCGATCCGTGGGTGGAGGCGGTGGGCGTGGGCTGGGTGTATGGGATGATGGCCTTCTTTGCGGTCTTTTCTTTCCTGTTTGTCGCGCTGTTGATGTGGAAGGGGGATGTGATTCGCCGGTGGCAGATCGCGAGCGTGGCGAGTAGTGAGGAGGGGGTGTTGTTGGGTGGGGAGGGGAGGGGAGTTGAGAAGGAGGATGCCTGAGGTGGGATCTACATTTTAGCTTGGAGGGTCTTGAAGAAAAAGCAATTTCATTTAGGCCTTAACAGACAGGATATGCGCTAGGGAGGTGGTCAAGTAGCAAATCTGAACTGAGCGAACCTTGTTCCAACCCTCTCGACCATGAAACTCCACCGATTCTGCAGACTTACTTGTCTGCTTCATCCATCACAGGCAAACGCTGGGTGCTAAGCTCTCCATTTATACCTCCAGCGAGGAACCGAACGAGGACATTCCAGAGGTCGTTGGAACCCTCCGAGTATGGCATCAGGTCCGATTTCGAGATGCGAAGACAACGCCCGTCGTGGATGGCGATCACGATCCTCACACTCGTTCCGATGAATGAGAATAGCATGGTCTAAAGTTAAAAGGCAAGAAAGGTCAGCGGCGACTCTGAAAGATATGCAAGGGGTGCGAAAGCTGCACAGGAAAGAATCATGTGAACCCACAGGCACAACGACATGCTCGGTCAGGGTGTCCATGCCCAGACGCGAGTGCATCGTGGCAGCGAGGACCATCAACTCTGCTTTCAAGAGTCTCTCTGGGTGTTCGACATCATCGTGGTAGATGGCCACTTTGATGTGAGGGAAGGTTGGGCTGTTAGAGCAAGCCCAGAACGTGTCTGTTCCCCAGTTGTACCTCTCTGAGCTCCCGGAGCTCGCGCGATCAAAGGCCGGTTCGAGGTGGAAGTTACTGACCGCGAGGAAATTAGCACTTCTCGTCCGGATAGATGCTTGCATGGGGGTTAAGACTTACATATTCCAGCGCCATCCAGTGACCATACTCAGCCTGGACCATGAGCCCGGCGGGAAGTTCAACCTTGGGGCTCTCATCACACTTGTTAGGTGATGGGCAAGGATTTGAGCTTTTCCGTACGACGGTATCGGCATTTGCTGGCGTGTGCTGCGACTGTAATCGGGCCTGAGGAGACGTGCAGTGCTTTCCACCTGCTGGCAAGTTTCAGACCTGGACAGATCCAAAGGATGTTGCTGGATGTACTCTTCCGACAGCGGGACGAAGTAAGAGGTTGGATTGAGTGCTGGAGGAATCTTCATAGTCGTAATTCCGGTGATGTCCCAGGGTAAAACCTCGATTTTAAGTGAGTCCGACTCTTCGAGCTCGGGAGCAATCGAGCCAGCCGGCAAGAAGCTCGCCATACTGTAGAAGTCCCACAGATTTGACAAGATCGCCTGGCCCTGCGAATCTGAGTCACCACCACCACCACCACCATCAGCATCAGCACGGGCAGCACCAGCAACAGCACGGAGAAGGCGATGCGGCAGGTGTGCGACACCATGAAGAGTTCTGCGCGCGAATGACATGGCTAGGATCAGATGAGCTTTGTGAGGACGAATGTGGGAAAGAAGGAGAAGGACGTGATGGTGGTGGAGGAGGGAGGAGTAGGTTGAAGGAGGAGTAGGTTGAAGGAGGAGTAGGTTGAAGGAGGAGTAGGTTGAAGGAGGAGTAGGTTGAAGGAGGAGTAGGCGGATCTCCCACAGTGAGGCTATCCGACTTCACCCCCTGAGATGAAAGTGATTGTGCCTTCATAGCAACGCGAGGAGAAATCAGAGATTTTCTGTTCCACTTTAACCTCACTATTGAGTTGATGCTATGTCATGCGGACCGCCGCTCATCTCCGGCCGCGGGAAACCTCACCGTCACGTCACCTGACTCATAGGAAATGCCCTCACTACCACTTCACCAGCTATGAAACTTATAGAACAGATACAACTCTGGCCCTAGTGAATGTATGGGGGAAGAAACATCCATGATGCAACTCTCAGTTGCCTGGGGCAATGGCTTCATATGAGCGCTGCGGCCTACGTGACTGGAGTCGGATTTTAGGAGTGCTCCCCTGGATAACTTCGCTACACCTTGGTCTGCGGTGGTTGAAAATGACTAGGCATACATATCAGACTACTTGAGTTCGCTTTACGTGTTACTTTTCTTCTCGTCTGGCCGTGTTACTTGTTCTTTCGGTGGCCCCTCGCCTTGCAGTGGGGGCCTGATCTTGTCTTTCTGACCTCACCACTTCGCCTTCGCTCTCCTTGTCATTCCTCACTGCTACCCTGATTTCCCTCTCTATCGATTCGTTCTTCGTTCCTTGTCTCCTGACAGATTTGAGCTGGCTCATTACAATGGCGCTCTTCGGGGATTCCGAATCCAAGAAGGAGAAGAAAGCCGCGAAGAAAGCCGAGAAGGAGGCCAAGCAAGCCAGGAAGGAGACGGACTCCTTTAGAGGTAGCTTCTACGTCCCGGATTCAGCTTCAAATTGGCAGAAGCTGGCTACTTCGTCTGGTCTATTGCAGAAGTCTCTTTACGATCTTGTCAATCTTGGGTCAGGCTCGCGTGTCAAGAAGAAGCAGTTCGTTCTCTTCAAGGCCTTCTGGCCACCATCGGAGCCTGTCTGGAAACTGAGTGATGATGCAGCTGAGTATGAGCTAGATCCAGTCTGGAAAGAAGCGATTGACCTGGTCAACGGCTCCTCAGAGATAGGAAAGTATCTCCAACTAGTTGGCCAGCCCTATCAGCTAGCCGCTCTGAACGAGAACGACGACTTGTGGCCAGGTTCTTGGGCGCCTGTGCTTAAATGGCAAAACCGCTGTATCGCGCTGGCCAACAAGAAGAAACCGGCTCAGGACACGCCTTCCACAGGGACCAGATCGCGGAAGAAACAGAAAACGAGTCACCAAGCAGGTAAGCCAAACACCCCCGAGCTTACTATTCTTTATTCTTCGTGACTTACATCCTATAGAAGGGACCACCGAAATCGTCGATGGCTATGAAGAAAAGCGCCCCAGCGACGAAGCAATCACGAATACGACTCTCCTCCTATTCTTGGACGCCCTCTCGAGTTTGATTCCGAACCCATCCTTCGAATTCAAAATCTTTCGCGCGGCATTCGAAGCCACCTTCAGAACCGTCTCATACAGGGCCCTTACAGATGGTGCTTTGTGGCTTGTCGATCAACCGGAAGACATCAGGGTTATCTTGGAAGTGAAAAAGATGAGTCGGCATGATAATGCGGATAGAATTCGGATGCAGGAGACAGCTGAGATTGTCGCATGGTTGAAGAGCTCCAAGCCATGGCAAGACTGTTTCGGTGGCCAGTAAGTCAATCGACCCAGCGAAATTTGCGCCCGTCTAACTTTGCTGACTTTGAATTTAGCAAGATTCTTATTGCCGAGGATGCCGCCCAAGTGTGGGTTATCTGCGCCAAACCAAGCTCCGCATATGCGGCTTACCTGGCCCAGGGCACGGACGACCAGAACCCTTTCATAGAGATGAAGTCATACGGCCCGTTCCTTTTGAATAATAGCAATGAAATGAGAGACCTGTGCATTGTTGTGGTGGCTATTATGCTGCGCTTTTTCTACTCATTGCAGGTGCACTGAATGCTGGTTCGTCTGTCTCGTTTCAGATCATCACAGTTGAGTTGTTCTTTGCGTCGTTTATGAACAGATACGTGCATGTCTGGGAATCGTCTTCATCATAGTGTCGATAGAAGTCGATAGAAGTACCGAACAAATGAATTTCGAAATGGTTCTATTTTGCAAAACCAACAAACATAATCAATCTATATACACGGCAGACCTAGATATCTACTCAAGATACTCGTTCGGCATATACAGTGGCATCGAGTCCTCCCAGATCGTATCCGTGACGAGGGTCTTGTTCGATCCGTCGTAGTTCATGACCATGATCTGGCCGTAGGGCTGGAAGGTGTCGTCGAACAGAGCGCTCTCGTCCTTGAAGCCGTACATGCCGGTACTCCACATGATGCGACCATCCTGGGACCAGACGGCACTAGAAGGTCATCACGTTAGCATTGCATCTCGGGAAGGGCTTTTTGAGAGATGAGCGGGGTACTTACTGAGCATCGTTAGACAAACTGTCCGTCACGCGAGTGAGCTCGGAGCCATCCGGCCGGATGGTGTAGATATCAAAGCGGTCGGCGTACCAGCGTGCGCCATAGGAACTCGTCCAGTTGTTGTTGCGGGTGAAGACAATGCGCTCGCCATCCGGGGACCAGCCGGGGGTGTTGTCCCAGCCCAAAGTGAGCTGGCGGGTCTCGCCGGTGGTGAAGTTGAGGATGTGCAGACCCTCGGGGGCGGCGGTTTCAAGGCTCCACTTGCGGTAGACCATGGCCGATCCATCGGGAGACCAGGAGGGGAAGCCTGCGTTGAAGGTGCCGTCGGTCAGATTGGTGTGGGAGGTGCCATTGGTGAAGGTACGGAACAAAGTCGCATTGTTGGTCGCCCGCGAGGTGAACCAGGCGCCGAAGCCGACGACGAGCTCGTCACCGTCGGGGCTCCAGGAGGGCTGGAAGGCGCCGGCTTGGCCTTCAGCCAGGTACTCGGCCTGGGTGGCGTTGTTGACGCTGTAAATGGAGTACGAGTCGAGGGCCTCGTGCACGTCAGCGTACAGCGGAGTGGAGGTCACCAGCGAGCCGTTGGCGCTGCCTAACACTTTCTGAGTGGAGGCCAGACGGTTGGTCGAGGGGTGGTGCATGGGAAAGACGTCCATGTATCGATACTCCCAGTCGTCATCAAAGCTCCAGAGCTTCAGACCGGCGGCCTGCTGAGCCCAGTTCCAGGTCTGATAGACGATCTTGGATCCGTCCGGGGACCACCAGGGATCGCGGATGTTAGTAGAGTTGAACGCCTTGTGGGTCTTATCGGGGGTGGTGTAGTTTATGCCCTCGTAGGGCCCAGCCTTGACCAGGTATCCAATGTTGGAGGAACTGCCGATGTAGTGCTGGCCGACCTTGGGGTAGCTGCCAGAGGTGTGGGCCTGAATGTCAGTGCCCGTGGCAAAGTCCACGCTGTAGATTTGAGAGGAGACGGCGGCTTGCTGCTGGGAGACACCGTGCGAGCCGTATGTATCCTCACGGGTCATGTTGTTGTAGATGATGCGCTTTCCATCGCGCGACCACTGCGGAGTACCGAAGGAGTAGCCATCCTGGCGCACCAGCGTCCGCAGGCCGGTCCCGTCAGGCCGGATCACGTACAGGCCGAGGCTCTGGGTGTGTTCCCATCCCACACCCTCGCTGTGACCGGTCCAGTCAGTGTTGCGGTCCGAGCTGAAGACCAGCCACTCGCTGTTGGGGGACCACGAGGGCCGGAAGTGACCAGTGGGATACGTGTTATCCGCACGCGTCAGAGCGGTATCGGTCAGGTTCTGCGCAATGCCCGTCTTGAGATCCTTGACCCAGACGTTCATGGTGTAGTTGCCCTGCGTCGAGACATAGGCCAGCTGCTTGCCATTGGGTGATAGAACACCGATGTCCTCCGCACTGTCCGTCGTCACGAGGGCCTCGAGCCCAGTGCCGTCAGGGTGCACCCGGTACAGGTCGGACTGACCCGCACCGCGACGCTCGCTGGTGAAGACAATCCACTGACCATCCTGGGACCAGGATGGGTGGTAGTCGAAGGCGTGTGTTTGGTTGCCTAGAAGCTTGGTTGCATTGGTACCGTCCGCATTGGCGATCCAGAGCTGCGAGCCCGAAGGTCCAATACGGTTCACTGGCAGGTTGAATTAGCGGCCTGGCTCGGTCCACGGAGAGGATGGACTGTCAGCAGCACTTACTGTAGAAGATACCCTTCTTGCCTTCAATGGCTCCACTTTGAGTCTCGACGGGAGTCTCCTTGACCTGAGCGGCAGCGGCAGCGGCAGCCGCTCGTCTGGCATAGGGACATCCAACAGGAGCAGCAGCAGCAGCAGCCTCATCGTTGGCGCGTGCTGCATAGGGACAGCCAGAGGCGGCGGCTGACCCAGCCACCAGGGCTGTCAATGCAATGGCACTGGGAAGGCGCATTTTGTCCTTGCAGTGAGAAGAGAAGGGGGAAATGGATGAGTTGCAGAGATCGTCAGGAGTATCCAGGAGAAGACGACCCGGTCTTTATATAGCGGTGGCCGTTGGGACGGGGGGTGTTTTGCGGCGGCTTCGAATGGATTTTGTGTTCGATCTGATGGCTTAGCCCATAGTGCTAAGCGAATAGACAGCCCATCATAGGCTGCGCATTCCAATTTGCAGGATTAGGATTCATCCGCCAGTGCACGAAGGCGATGCTGAACGTGCATGCTTGGCATGAAAGGTTTCCCTCCGACCCCCGACCTTCTCTCCACTGTCAAAGATCAAGATCGACATGGATCCGGGGCAGGATTTCTTGATTTGTGTGCTACGGATGACGATCGTCCTTCTATCGCCGACTTGGCAGGGCATCGCCCTTCTTGGCTGGCCCTTGGCAGTCACGATAACAGCTCGTATTAATATATGAGCAATCTGGCATTGCCGTCGTGAGATCGCTTAATGCTAGCACATGTCTGAAAGCAATAGAGAGTGAGATGCGAGCCTTCGAAGCGAGGCTTGGCTAGCAGTGCCATCATGTGCATCATGTGTAACGTCAGGAGTCTTCTCATCATGAGTCTCACTCAAGGGGGAGATATGACTTCAGCGCCAGCCACGGTGATGACGTTTCGTTTTCTCTTTCCCTTCTCTTTTCTTCCCTCCTCTGCCCGAACGCTCCACTTTCAAGGCTGGGCAAACCGAGGGTAAGATCAGATAACACCAGGATAAAGGCCAAGATACAGACCCAAAGGTAATATTATGGTAGGGGCCTGGCTGGGCCAAACCCACTAGTTCACTAGAGAGGAAGGGATTTGCGCTCCGACCCGCATCGATTGGGAGCCCGTTTGCGGGAAACCGTCGGGATTCAGGGTCGAAAGACCCGAAACGCCTTCGAAAAGTTAGAGATAGCGGGTGAGTCGGTGATGAAAGAAGCAGACAACTCCGACCTCCGACACACAACTAAAAAAAAAAAAAAAAAAAATCCAGTCACTATTCAGAATCCGACCTCGGCTTAGTCTCCGTCCATTCACTGGGTCTACGAAACAAACCATCTTCCCCCCAGCCCCGAAGGTCCTTCTTCCAATCCCATGTCTGCGACTGGTGGTTGCCTAGAGGCCATCCCGCGGTGGTGATGACATATCTTGACATTTCTTGACATTTCTCTCCATGTCCACGTACTCCATCTCATGACAGCCCATAATGCTCGGTTGGTCTGCGCAGTGACGCAAATCCCCCAGACTTCGGGAGAAATTCAAATCGGCTTTAGACCTTACGTCCGAGGGCGACTGGTTCTGATACTGTCCAACAAAGACATTGCGTCCGAGCGTGAACTATTCTGAGTCCTGACCCCTCGGCGGGCTAATCCGGCTATCATCATCGGCCGTCGGGATTGCAGATTGCAGGCACGGCTTGGAGATAACGTGCATGATTTATAATCCAGCGCCGGTTCACCTATCGGGCCAATGGCTGTGTCAAGGATCGGGAGAATGAGATTGTGTTGCAGCAAAGCCCGGGCTAAGCCAGTGCAAGACGGAGGTCGGCGCTTCAGTGCTTCAGGGATGAAAGCTTTTGCAGCCAGGAAGCTAGGGTATTCCATCTTAAATTGAACCCTATTCAGACTGCGAAGGAGCCTGCTTACTTTACAACCCAGGCCCGGTTGGCTCCGGTCAGTGTCGGAGGCATTCCCTTCATTTCGAATACGAAGGTACGAAGGTCCTGACCTTATCACGAGCAGTGAGATGAAAGATTCATCTCTTGCAAGGTAAGCGAGACCAATCGTGTGAGGATAGGCTCGACGGGCCACCGCTGCCAGTATGTAAGATCGCTATCCGTCGATCGCAATATGGCTGGGACTTCTCCCACATATTACTTATCACTGTGGTGCCTTTGACTAAAGTACTGCTGGCCTGGTGGTATCATGTTGCGTTGCGTTGGCTGAGAGCAAATTGCACCGGTCGCATAGTGTAGCTTCTGGGGGTGTATCATTTGCGAAACTCGTCCACTCAAGATTGTAAGACCAGACTGGCCTGGCAAGACTATCGATGAGGATGAGGCTGACAGCGGTTATGCGGGAAGGCCTTGCCATCCCCCTCCTCAAGCCCCGGCCGCCATGCCACCGGTCCATGATGTTTCTGCAACCAGTGACTTCAATAGCGGTCTCTTCTTCTTTCGATTGGCGCTGCGAGAGACAGGAGTCGATTTATCATGACCTTGTTGTCCTGAGTGTGAGTAGGATCGACGTCTCTACAATCCTAATGCCGCCACACTCCCGCAAACTGTTGAACCTCACCGGTCGCAGCAGCCCGCCAGTTGACATTCCCCGTCGATACAGGAAGCCCCAAACGAACCTTAAGACATGGCCTAAGAGGAGCCCAAGTTTATCACCAAATGGAAAGGATGTTTTTTGCTAGGACGGCGAATGAATAAGACTTGGATGGGGCAGGCTTGCCCGCAATCCGGGATGACTTGCCTTCACGCTGCAGTCCGCTATCATCCACAATCCACCAGGAGGAAACTCATCCCACGCCAACTCCCCGCCCGCCTCCCATATAAAGAATAGCCTCGACGAGCCTCAAATAGACGTCTGTCCTCCAAAGAATCCTCACTTCCAGTCTAAATCGATCGCACCTACACCTCAACCATGTCCCCCGCCAAAGTTCCCGTTCTGAGCCAACACGCTCCCGCCCCGAGCCCGTTGATGTCGCAAGGCATCATCTCCAACGGCATGCTCTATTGCTCCGGCAGTCTCGGCATCGACCCCAAGACCAGCACTTTTGTGCCAGGCGACGTGGCTGACAGGACGGTAAGTTCTGTCTGGCACAATAAGTTGTATCATGTGTGACTAATGCACCACACGGAACGCAGGTCCAAGCCCTGCGCAATCTGGAACAGGTCCTCATCGCCGGCGGGAGCGATCTGAGCAAGGTCGTCAAGGTCACGATCTTCATCTCCAGTATGGCGCATTATGCCAAGGTCAACGACGGGTATGCCAAGGTCTTTGGGGAGTATGATGTCAAGCCGGTGAGCTTTTCCTCTCGATTTCATTGTTGTGGTCTGGTTGCTGTATAAGCTAGAGGTTAACGTTGGGGGGTCTTAGTGCCGTACCTGTGTGGGCGTGGCCAGTCTTCCGCTGGATGCGGAGGTTGAGATTGAGCTGGTTGCTGCTGCTTAGGCGTTGACGGGGATCTGAGCGTGTGCCGGATTTCAAGGATGGAGAAGATGGATTGAAGGTTAACTGGATTTTAACTGGATTGATACTAGGAGAGGGCAGTGACTAGGAGAGGGCAGTGATGGGAAGCGGATGCCCTAACTGCTGTGCCCAAACAGGGGGCTTTGCCGTAGAAAGAGAGCAGGATTGACCTAGTCTGCTAACGAACATACATGAAAGATACACCAACAGTGAGATAGTACCGAGCAACAAATAGAGTAGACGGAGGAGAACCTCCGTCAATTGAGATATGATTTGTTTGTATGGTATTGTAGCCCACCGGAAGGGCTGCACAGCAAACCCTCCCTCAGCGTCTCGCGCGCTTCGGACCCCACATCACCTTCCTCCGGTCAGTGACATGCACCTTCCACATCACGGGGGAAACGTCCAGATCACTTAGTGACACAGTCGCGACCCCCTCCTCGTCCACCTCCGGCGGGTCTAGGATGCTATGGACCGTCCAGGGCCCTCGATTTTCCGGCCTCGCCCGCTCCTCCGGAGGTGGCAGCTCTCCGCTGCGGATCTTTGCGTACGCCCGATCGACCTGCCCGCGCTCCATGTCCTCGTACCGCAGTGCCTGCACCACGTCCATAAACTCACGGAACACCGCCTCATCCCGGCGTGAGGAGAACACCTCGCGCCCCTGGTGCTGGAACTGCAGTATCCCCGTCTCGTGGTGCTCGTGGCCCCGCGGGAACTCGGTGTACAGCCGCACTTGGTCCCCGCAGATGATGATCCCGTACAGGCGCGCGGGCGGGAGCGGGTCGGCGCGCGCCAGCTGCATCCAGACGTAGATGAAGTTGCGGATGCGGGGGTTCTCCAAGGGGTCCGGGTCCGTGACGTAAGGAGTGTCCTCGATGATAGCGAGGATTTTCATGCGGCAGCTAGGGGGCTCAGTGTCTCGCCAGAAGGCGTGTGCGTCGTGGAGGTCTTGTGGGGTGGACATCTTGCGTAGCTTGGGTTTGTTTGCTGGTTGCTCGCTTGGTCGGTTTGGTGGGTTGCTTGTGGGAGTCAGATGAGTTGTGGTTGTAGTTGTGCCATGGAAGAGAAGATGGCCGTGGGTGTATTTATAGAGCTCATTGTTCTCAGAGTGCGGAGTCAGGGCCTTATGGTCTGCAGGGAGATTCCGGTCATTGTGTATGATATACATGACATACAGGTACTTGCCTGTTGCGGTACTACAAAAGCTGTAGGGATCTTCTCAGTTGACTGACGTCTCATGATGGGGGCGCTTTATCTCAGAGAGCAGTATTCCTCTAGTCTTATGAATCAATAATGCACAATGGAACTCTTCTCCCCTCTTTGCCCGCTGAGTGCCGTTCCCAAGGTTCTATACCTATTTTTTCCATCTGCTGGGCCTACAAGCCGCAGTGAATAGGCGACAGGCAGGTTCCGGTTCTACATATGTCAAGACCATTCACTTACCTCATGCGGAGATTGACATCTTTAAGCTGTGTGTGTTCTTGTGAAGGTGAAACGATCCTCGAGGTGTGAATATAGTAGCCTGTATCCAACTCATCTATTGTGTCTCCCTCCTCGTAAGAGCCAAACTTTTCCCTGTCAGTCTTTTCCTTCCCACTCTTCTTTCGATTCCTCGCTCCTCGATTGCTCAGTCCGAGTCTTTCATTACCATCTTCATCATCAAAATGGCTGAGTTTATTTCTATCAATATCCAGATAGTGATACTCAACCACCCAATGGTTCTTGAGTCGTTTCAGTTTCCACTCTTCATATCTTGTTCCTCGACCACACTTTCACAGGACTCGTGCCTGATTATAGTCCGGTCGACACTCCTTGATCTCAGTCATCCAGCGCCTGTGTACATCCGCGATGGCCTCCATTCGTCGCTTGAGAGAGGAGACGGAGATCGAAGCTCCAGGTATGAACAGGCTAATCCACCTCTAGCAAATCAATCGGCCTCTCTATGTTGTCGACCAATAAACGCAGTCACAATGAACTTCCAGCCTGGGAAATTGAGCCAGGCGTTATGACCACTACCAACCTCGCGGGCAACAACATCTCTTTCCTCTACCCTCGCCTCGTCCAATGACCGATGCTTACTTTTGATAAACCAGAGCAAATCTCATCTCAGCTAATGGGATATATGGGCAATCGTCAGTACTGTTCATGCTACACTTGCTATTACGCGGGAAAGATCGCTGACGAAGTCATCTAGGAAGAGGTCACATCCAATCCTCACCTCCGAGGGCGTCCAAGATCCGCTGCAGGCGGGCCTTTGAAACTGCGGTCACGCTCGATATCGATATGCATAGCTAAAAACTAGGAAACAAGGCGAACAAATGCCACCTAGTGTCTTTTTCGCGTATGTGGCCAAACAAGCTACATTGAAAGCACTGCGCTGCAATCACCTTTGCATTGCGGCTGATCCCGTGCATGGCAAGATTCTGCCTCCTACATTGGTGCTGCTACGCAGCCAATAGACATCGCACATTCCACTGCTGCATCTCTTGCTCGCACATTGCTTGACCTGACGGAATAATCCATAAGGAATGCAAAGGCTCCTTAGGGGGTGATCTCAGCCTCCGCATACAAAAGACTCCTGTCAACATTATACTACGGGGTCCAATGTCGGAAGGGAAATTTGTGGCTACATACTTGACACCAAAAATCTCAGAGCCACCGAGAAAGAGGTTAAGTCTCGAGAAGACTTCGCTTACGAGGCAAAAGCTATATCGTCGGGTTGGGGAATGAATGCGCCGTACCCGCACGACGTGTCAACTAGCATAGCATTTCCAATTGCTACCGGTGAACCTCTCACAGGAAAGAGCCCGTGTTCCAGAATATGTCCTAGCCGGGGAGCAGAACCGATTCCTCATCTCTGCAAATAACCTTACTGTGAATGGCAATACCGATGGGCATCCCGAAACAGCTGGATCGAACAAGGCTACTGGCTTGGGAATAAGAGGTTACCAATCTGAATCCTCAGTCCGGTCCCAGTCCGTCCGATGCCATACCGCCGGTCGGAACGAAGATACGAATAATTGAAGTATTATCCTGATGAGCATCAGTGACAATAAAGATACACACTACTCAAAGATTGACTTCCTGTGCTGGAAGCGATGCGAACGCGCACCATAAAATTTGAAGAGAAGACAAAACTGAGCCGCTGCCATCGATTTCTGAGACCGCTTGATTCATGTTGTTCGCTCTATTGCTTACCTGAATGATCTGTGCATAAACCAGTATGTATGTTAGCCGATTAGACCTTCATATGGGGGCCTGTCATTCACGGGGCTGTGCGTACACCTCTTGTATATAGCAAACGCTAAGTTAATGCCTATGTGAATTGATGCCTTGTCGATCAGGCATCAATCACCCCTTCCTTCTTACATCCCACTGAGAAATATTCGAGTCATACTCACCAACACCAGCATATTGCAGTATCGTTACATCTCTTCCATGCAGTAAATGACTCGTGACCCAACTCCCGATAAACTTTCGGCAACCCCCGGTTATGGATCGATCTCGGGAATGAGAATCGGCATCCTTGGCAGCCGCATTTCCTGGCGGGGTTGCCGCCATCACCACCCCTCACAGCGTATAAAGTGATGTCCTTGCATCTGTAACCATCTCATGACCGACAGTCTCTGTGAACAATACTCAAAGTGACAGCACCGATGCCCACCACTCAACAAGGCGCCGTAGTCCTTAACCCGGGCCCAAACTACCAGATCATCCACCGCGATGACCTCCCCGTTCCCCAACCAGGGGACCACGAAGTCCTCGTCAAGCTGACATGCACCGGTTTGTGGTGAGGATCTCCCGCCTACTCTTCCTTCTCGCATCCCACACCCGATCCGATCCAATACAAACTACCTCGGAAAACTGACCGCTGCCAGCCACTCGGAAATCCGCGCCACCTCCGGCTGGAGCAATTACAACCCCATCATCGGCCACGAGGGCATCGGCACCGTCATCCAGACCGGATCCCTCGCTCCGCGGTCCTTACTCTCCGCCCGAGTCGGGGTGAAATGGCTCTACAGCGCGTGCACGCACTGCTCCGTCTGCACCTCCGGCCACCCGCACTACTGCCCGCACCAGCGCAACACCAGCCGCCACGTCCCCGGCACGCTCCAGCAGTACGTCCTGGCGGACGCGCGATTTCTAACGCCTATCCCTGAAGTAGTGGCCGACGAGATCGCCGCGCCGCTGCTGTGCGCCGGACTGACGATGGCGGGGGCGCTGGACCGGCTGGACGGCGTGCTGCGCGCCGGGGATTCCGTGGTGATCTCGGGGGCCGGGGGCGGGCTGGGTCATCTGGGGGTGCAGATCGCGGGGCGTGTGAAGGGCTGGAGGGTTCTTGCGGTGGACTCTGGGGAGGAGAAGAGGCGGTTGAGTATGGAGGCTGGTGCGGCGGAGTTTGTGGATTTCCGGGCTGAGGATGTGGTGGCGCGCGTGAGGGAGCTGACGGACGGGGAGGGGGCGCATGCCACGGTGGTCGTGCCGGGGGATCCGGCCGCGTTCAGAGTGGCGGCGGACTTGGTGAGGAATCTGGGGACGGTGGTGTGTGTTGGGCTACCGAGGAATGATTTCGAGCTGCCGGTTTCCGCGACGCTGTGTGCGGCCAGAGGTATGTTTCTTCCTCTTGGAGGCAGGATGGCGGTTTCAGGATTAGGGAGCTGATTTGTGCTGGTAGGGATCTCGATCATTGGGAGCTCGGTGGGGACGGAGGAGCAGATGGCGGAGCTGTTGCGGCTGGCTGCTGAGGGGGTCATCACGCCTGCGGTGAAGTGTTATGGGTTTGATGAGACAGCGAAGCTGATTCGAGATCTTGAGCACGATGCTATCACGGGGAGGGCTGTGGTCAGAATCCCCGAGTGAGAGTGGGGTTAGGAGAAGCGCTGGGTTATGGTTTAGTGAGGGTAAGTCTGCGACTTGTCTGTCCGGCGCATATCCTGTATGTAGCATTTTTGAGAGACTACTATTGTTCACAGGCCTCGCAATTGAGCCTAAATGATCTCCAGGGATTGTCAGAGTCTGTCCTGTCGACTTGTCGACCCCTTGCCAACATGCCTGAGTTCAGGCTAAATCAGCAGATACTTAAACAGCACGGCCCTACTCCGATCCCAAGATCAGGCATCTCAAATCTCTAGGAACGACAGAATGCAGTTTCTACTCTATCTAGTGAATGCGCTACTGATCCCCCTCGTCACCGCAACCCGCCAGACCAACTACACCAACCCGATCCTCCCAGGATGGCATTCCGACCCAAGCTGCGCCTTCATCGCCGCCTGGGATGAGACCTTCTTCTGCACGACGTCGACCTTCCTCGCCTTCCCGGGGATCCCCATCTACGCCAGCAAGGACCTCATCCACTGGAAGCTAGTCAGCTACGCACTGTCCCGCCCGTCCCAGGCGCCCTTCCTGCTCAACGCTACCAGCCAGTCCGAGGGGATCTACGCCTCGACCCTGCGCTTTCACAAAGGCACGCTGTACCTGACCACGGCACTGATCTCTTCCACCGCGCCCAACGGCAGCGAATTCCTCGTCTTCACGACCACGGACCCCTACGCGGACGCGGCCTGGAGCGACCCGATCACCATCACCACGACCCTCACCGGCTACGACCCGGATCTGTTCTGGGACGCCGCCGACAACGACCGACTCTACCTCACCATCGCGGGGTACAACCACTCCGCCACGCCGCTCATCTTCCAGTCCCCCGTCGCTCTCCCCGACTGGACCGCCACGTCCTGGAGCTACCTCTGGAACGGCACGGAGAACATCTGGCCCGAGGGACCGCACCTCTACCGCAAGGACAAATGGTACTACCTGCTGATCGCCGAGGGGGGCACCGGCACGAGCCACCAAGTCTCCATCGCGCGATCCAAGCACGTCACGGGACCGTACGAGCCCTGTCCCGCCAACCCGATCCTCACCAACAAGAACACCACCGAGTACTTCCAGACCGTCGGCCACGCGGACCTGTTCCAGGACTCGACCGGGAACTGGTGGGGCGTGGCGCTAGCCACGCGATCCGGACCCGCATGGGAGATCTACCCCATGGGTCGCGAGACGGTACTCTACCCCGCGCAGTGGGAGGAGGGCGCCTGGCCTCAACTCCAGCCGGTCCGGGGGAGAATGCGCGGACCGCTCCCTCCATCCTCACGAGCCGTGCAAGGCCAGGGTCCCTTTGTAGATGCGAGCGAGAAACTCTCCTTCGCGCCAGGATCCCCCCTGCCCCCGACCTTACAGACCTGGCGCCCCCAGCCCCACGCCCAGGACCAGTCACTATTCACAATCTCCCCACCAGACCATCCGCACACGCTACGCCTCACCCCATCCTGGGCAAACCTCACCGGCAACGCCTCATTCACCCCCGGAAAAGACGACCTCTCCTTCCTCGGCCGCATCCAAACGAGCACGCTCTTCGAGTACGCGGTAACCCTCCGCGACTTCACCCCCAGCATCGAAGCCGAAGAAGCGGGCGTCTCCATCTTTCTGACCCAAACCCAACATGTCGATCTGGGGGTCGTGCTTCTGCGTGATGCCCACGGAAAACTGGCCCTGCATTTCCGGCTCCGGGTGGAAGCGTCCGGCCGCCCGGATCTGGTGGCTCCTGACGCGGTGGTCACGGCGGTTCCGGTCGCGTGGTATGGGAGGGGGATTGTGCTCCGGGTGCGCGCGCGGGATGATGCTGGGTATGTGTTGTCTGCGGCGCTGGTGGGGAGTCCCGGGAGCGAGATTGTGTTGGGCAGAGCGAGTGCGGGGGTTCTCAGTGGGGGGAGTGGGCCGTTTACTGGTGAGTTCAATGTTACTCGTTACTTGTTTCTGGGCTATGTTGTGGGATGTGATGCTTGGGAAGGGGCTGGGCTAATTGTTGTCTAGGGACGCTGCTGGGGGTGTATGCCACGGGTAATGGGGGACCGGGGGAGACGCCTTCGTACTGGAGTGATTGGACGTATGTGCCGGTGGCGCAGGAGATTGATGCTGGGGTGTTTGTGGATGCTTGAGGGGATGTGTCTCTGTGTATAAGGGTGCGCGGGAGGCGGGGTTGCCGGTTGGCAAGGGGCAAGAACCGACTCAGGGTACTGTACAACCTCCATGTATGACTGGCAGCAGCTAGGGTGATGAGGCCACTCCCATGGATAATTGCCGATCAGCGCGGAGAACCAAGTCTATACGCGTGTAGCAATGCCAAGAAGGCACCTGCAGCGATCACCCCGCTTCACCCCGCGCGAAATCAGCCTGTATCAGCCTGTAGGCCTTGAAATGTCTTCTGAGAGCATGGACAACAGGCTAAATCACACTGCATCGCAAACCAAGCTAATACTGCCCTTAACCAGACTGTCTCTCCAAAGCAGCAATTCATCAACGCCACACGACCGCATTATCACGAAAACGGCGTCCGCCCATGGATAACATGCAACTCAACAAACAACTGCTGCCGTTCGGGGCTGGCCGAGAACTCAGCCTGCACCTCGGCGATCAGCGTGCGATACTCGTCCTCCGACCAGCCCAGCACCCTCATAAACAGCGCCATGGTCAGGGTTCGACCGAGTCGATCGCGTGGCCCTGCATGAGCACCCCCAATTGCTTGAGCGTTAGGTCGCGGGCCCACGCGCCGATGGGGATCTTGACGACCTCCTCGGTGACGTCGACGAAGGCGTTGCGGCGCAGCGTGTCGGCCAGCGTGTGCACGACGTTGATGGGCTTGCCGAAGCGGCTCGACGCCTCTTGAAGGGAATGCTGCCAGCGCGCGATGCTGGAGCTCTCAGGGAGAGTAGGCCCTCCGCGGGCCTGGGACTGGAAGTCCACCCGGAACTCTTGGATCTCGTAGGATCCGCCGGGCACGAGGTGCTGGTGCGCCTGGGCGAAGAGACCGTTCCAGTCGGCGATGGAGCCGAACCATGTTGCGCTGGTGGATGAAGTCGAACGCCTCGGCGGGAGAGTACGGCCAGGGGGCTTCGATGTCGTCGATGATGAAGTCTAGGTTGGGGGGGACACTGGATATGAAGGACACGTGGGTTCAATTAACACAAATCTGGGAGGTATAGGCATCATCAGATGTCGGCAAGCAGACCAGGTAGGTTGGATCGGACTCAGATCATTCCCCAGCACGCGGGCCTGCGGCCTCTCGTCTGCGATCTCGATGGCCCAGATCCCCGTGCCCGTGCCGAGGTCGAGGATGCGTCGGACGGGTCCGCGCAAAGGGGCTTGGTAGAGCTTCCCCTGCAAAGCCATGCGCAATCGTTGGGAAACGGGTATTCGCCTTCCCGGTAGGCATGGTAGCGGTGGCCGTGCTCGAAATTGTAGTCCTGGACGGAGGAGGCAAGGGAGGCGGTGAAGGAGTGGCTGTCGCTGGGGTAGTCCTCCTGGTGCGAGTCATCTACGTCGATCCATGTTTCATGGGGTGGTCGGGGGGCATCATTTGGGTGTCTAGAAAGAGCAAGCAGTGCTAGACCCGGGGGGATGGATGGATGGGACCAGGAACTCGGAGCGTTTGCTTCACTAATGACAAGATGTGGGGTTTAACTTCGCGGGTTTTACCGGCATTGGCCTAGTCACAATGGCTAGGTGATGGGTACTGTACCAGTTTGTACTAGACTCGTTCAATTATTCTAGGTCATGAAGACGGCTTTGATAGAGTTGATTTGATGTGTTTTGGGCTAGTATTGTATCAATTACTTAGTTTACTAGTCCCAAAACAGACTATTTGTGTACGACAAAAGATATATCCAGAATAAGCTTGGTCAATAGAAAAGCTGCAGTTCCACTAACCCAAAAACGAGCTGATTTGATACGGTGCTAAATCTGTCTAAATCTGGCTTAGCAAGGCAAGCTGTTTTCTTTCTCAGAATATTATATTAGGAACGCAGCCAACTCTTCACTGTCTATATGAGAACGATGATTCCCTTCAGCGCGATATCGCTAATCAGCCGGGTCTTAATACATTATGTCGAACATACCTAGAGGAGGGGCTATCTCCTGCCTTCTATTGAACAACAATATATCTCTTCCGGAAGCAAATATAAGTCTTGATTTTATGATTGAATCGGTAACGGTCACTAGAAATTGGGAGCTGTATATTTCTACACATAACAACAAATTCCCTCTCAAATGTACAGGGGAAGGACTGAGGATTAGAGTGTCCATCGAGAGTGATGAACTAAAATATTCGGACAAAGAAGAATTAGAGCCCTCCTTGAAAAGCTTCAGTGTGGTGCGAGCGATTCGCAATCACCCTCAGATTGGACGCATCTGGGTTGTCCAGTCAGTTTCTATGTAAATCAATACGTTATGAATCCAAACTAAGACGAAATTGCATAGTTCTGGAGGAGAGCCGAGATGTCTGTCAGTCTCTCCCTCCATTAGGCGGTCAGATCTCACTAATAGATCTAGAAGATTTGCTCTGTATGCTGCTGTGAACATTGGCAATCAACAACTCCAGTCTGGGTTACCTTACCCATGGACTAGGATTTCAGATATAGCTCGCCAACAGCTTAAGTCTGCTAACAGCAACAATAGCGAGTCAACTACAAATCGCAGCATCTTGCAAAGTACGAAACATATGGAAGAGTCCCCGGGCAGAACCAATACTAGCCATGTCCTATTCAAGTATCAGGAAAGATTGCGGTTTCTTGAAAATAGTAGAAACATAAGGTTGAGAGAAGCTAAATTCGCGGAGAAATATTAAAGCAGTCTCCTGCCTGAGGCTTGAACAATTGCTATTCCGACGTTCCCTTGACAATGTTAAAGCGCCATTCTGGGCACGAAGAGCTGGCAACTTCGTTAAGGTTGATCTGAAGAAAAAGCAATAGATTCGATAGAATACCTAGAAAACCAGTAATGGGGGCGCTGTGTAGATGGCACCGAAGGAGCGTAAAAAATTGCAATACTTAATCGAACCTTAGAAGCATCATAGATGTTGAAACTAGGACCACGTACTCTATGCACGCAAGCCCGAACTTGATCACTTCTAAACAGGTGCTGAAGTCTGGTGCCTGCAAAGACAATTACCTCAGGATACTCATCGGGTGAAGTAGGGACCGATATGAAAGATGCCTCTGACCCGATCCCCTTACTGTCTCGTTTTCGCGTTGTTTGGAGATCGGCGATTTCCAGGCCATCATTCTCAATAGGAGAGCGGAGTAAGATAGTTAAAGTACTGCTATCTATATGTAGGGGACTGAAATAAATGCTGCCTTGAAGGGTTTAAGAATTATAATAATAAACCTCTAATGTAGCAGAATCAAGAAGCGCAGTTCCCGTTAGTGGAGTGCTCGAGTCCAGAGTTTCAGAGATGAGTTTCAGTAAATGCGACTTAATGGATGTCCATTCCTATCAGAATAGGTAATTAGCACAGCAGACAGTATATTAGATTGAGAAAAAAGTTTGATGCTTACCTCATAAAGAGTTTTGACTGAACAATAGAAATCTGGGCTAGGATATTCGGTATATCCGGGCTCTTCCCCATGACGGAAGAAATACATATTCTTCTTAGGAAACACAGTCCGGCCTCGAACCCTCTCCGAGGCATAAGGAGAATACTTTTTTACTCGATTTTTTGCATCAATAGATTGTTGGAAAAATATCCGAGCCTATGGGTCGCGGTTAGTGGTAGACCCTTTCGCGGCGAGTAGGGTTAGGATTACATTTTGAAATACATCACCGCGGCGGTACCGGGTACTTTGAGGGGCTACTAGGCGGAAAGCTCCGTACTGACGAAGGGCGGATTTGAGTTCAGGAATCAGAGCCAGTGCCAAAGGTTTATGCAGGTCAATGAGAGGTAATATTTCTGCAGGCCTCTTATTTTGAAAATAATGCCGGATTATAGCAGCGGACGAAGAAGTAAATAAGCCCAAGTCCTCTGACAAGCGATGCGTTCGTAGTAGATTACATGACCTAGTATTACGTCACATGCCATCACGGGACAATGTATTATTAGCGCTCGTTGCGAAGCCCGAACTTTCCGTCCACAATACTATGCCCATCTTGGGTCAAACCTGTGTAAATATGTTGGGCTTTACCCCTTCTTCCGAATGTGTGTGCTAAGCTTCCTCTTGATTAGTGCTTAGTCGCGGCACCTCCATAGGTCAACACGTGACTACTTGTGTGCATCTCCGGGTAATAGTTTGCCCTGCTGCGCATACAGCAACCTTCTCAGTTGCTCTTAGTCTACGTCGGATCCTGCTTCTGACCGAGCTGGTGAAGTTACTATTGGATTTATGAACTTCTAATCGTAATTCGCGGGGTCACTTTACTATTTAGATATGTCGCGTCTGAAGCACTAATTTATACCACTACAAATGATGTGCTTGCTTGTAGCAGTCTATTCTCTGCTATCAGGCAGTAGTACAGACACCGCGTGAGGATCCTTTAGCAGCTGACTGAGCAGATTTTTCCTCTTTCTAATTTAATAAGTGAATAACGTCAATGTCTCGCCTCTATCCAATACTAGCTCATTATTTTCTTAGAGCTTTTATCGAACCATGATATATTTTACTAGAAAGTATCCTTCTACTCACTTCCAGTAGCACACTGGAGGAGAATATATATATATTCAGCTGGACTGGACGTAAGAGATGGGTCGGAATTCCGGTATGAAAAAGTACTGCTATTTTCGCCTAGAACATCCTGAATAGCCTCGGCTATTCACTCACATGGCTTGATTAATTAGTCTTAACACGCAGATTACATAATGGCCTTGCTGACGATCCGGCAAACGAGGATACTTTAGGTAAAGGAAACAAATCGTCGGCCGTTCATATCGAGCTTCGATGCAGGCTGACACAATTTCATGGGAAAGAATATATTTCCTTCCTCAGGCGATTAGCATTATTGCTATTTCGCAGGGGGAGCGAAAGGGAAGTCGTCCGTGGCGCGACGTCTCTAGGTAGCTCTTAGTCGCTCTGTGGGAGAACTTTCTCCACATCGCAGAAAGTGATAACCGCATTGGTTGCAGCAAATTTGAAGTTGATTATACTTTTCGACAGTGGAGCCTGGCATGGTTAAGATGGTATCGATCAATTCATATGCTGCAGAGTCATACGTCCTGCCCGCTTCAGAGCATCCATAAACTCTTTATTTACCACTTTTCCAGTGAGTTGTTTTTTATTGTTAATTACTGGCTTGCTCGTGCTTATATCGGAGCAGAGGAATGATTTCCTTTTACGCCTAAGATAAATCTACAGGTAAGAAAACACTGCAAGCAGGAACTAGAGAGGATACTGCAGGATATACATTTTTCATTTCCATGATTAATTGGCGTTCTTATTCTTTGCAAGTTCTTACGACTGCTTTTTATTTTACATCTTATATAGACTTGTGGTAATTTTCGAAATATAAATACATGTTTCATATTCTGATATAATTATACGGTACAACATCAATGCTACATGATAGTTGCATGGTAATATGCTCCTTATCTTGCTCAAGCTGCAGTAGAGGCAGGCCTCCTATTGCTTTCCTGGTTAGTCGTGGGCGCAGAATCGTCTAGCTCGCCGAGCGAGGCACTCTCACTATTCCCAGACACCCATAACTGAAGGGGAGGTGATTGACGCCCGGGATTGAGCCGGTGTCTAAAATCCTCTATCAAAGATCTTGCTCCCTCCTGGTTGATCGGAAGGTGCCAAGGACGAATTTTGCGAAGGAACTCGATGTGTTCAAGATCAACAACCATTATCTTACTTTTCCCACACTCTTAGTCAAAACATAACAAAAAATTATCCAGTTTCTGGTCTCGATAGAAAGCTCCATTCTCCGAGAGCTTAGAAAAGGTCTCTTCCAAATAAGCTTTCAGTAATTCCTCAGAAGTCTCGTTGTTGCAGTGAGCCAAATCTTTGAGAGGAATTCCATCGATGTCCGATAGTACAAGTACAGGTTGCCCATTGAAATAACCTCGACCATAAAAGTATGGAATCACTTGTCCTTAAAGGTTCTTCAATCGGCGGTAGGCCTTCTCCTCATCCTGAAACTCGTCTTCCCATCCATCCTTCAATTGCTTAACAATGACAGAGGTAGCCGTTATGGGAATCGTATGCCGGTATAGATCTGGTGCAAATTTAAGACGATATACTGTTCGCTGTTGATCTAATAGCTCAGCCTCGGTTGCAGTAATCTCATAACCGTCGGCCAGCTTGATCATCTAGCAGAGTCAGCTTGACCCAGTTCTCAGACTATTATAAAGAAAACAACCTACCCAGAGATTTTGTGATGGCGGAGCGGAATCGGACATTATCAAAGCATCTAATAAAGTTGACGTCGTTAGTGTAAGAGGGTAAAAAGGAGAAAAGGAAGGCGTGTGACGGAATCTATTATAATAAGCTCAGCAGTTATGTGACTTTGTGAGATGTAAGGGAGGTGATGCATTGAAACTGGATAACTAGGAACTACTTCGGGACGTTATTTGCCTAGTATATGAGGCATAAATACCTCCGCCCCTCTACGGTGGATTGGGTTGGTCAGCATATAAATTGGTGACGAAACAATTGACTTATAAAGAACTGAGATTAACAGCACATATGTAACATACATTTCTTAGCACATCAGTATTGACTCTTCTGAGATTCATAGATCTATCGTAGCAAAAGATTCGCCTTCCACCAGTAGTCTTAAGTTATACATCTATCAAAAGCCCACTGACTACGGATGTATCTCATTTACCCGGTAGGATTTGCCCAACTCGAGGCCAGGTTTTGATTTGCCAAAATCACATCTTGTCGGAGTCCAAAATATTATCGTATACTTAAGCGGGGAACAGTGAATAAGCTGAGTTGTAGAAACTTATAAAATCATTCACTTGAGTACAAACAGGAGAACAAAAGTATCACAATTTCATTTCCCGGGGATTGTGTCGTCACAACACAAAGATTTCAGTAGTTGTGAAACAATTTTTCGTGTCGTCAACAATGGAATTCCCTAGGCTATCCAGCCAAACCCAGTAGCCATAGACTTTAAGCTTATTGGACTGCTGGTGTAATCTGAAATCCAAATCCCGTCGATATCCATAGGAGTGACCATGATAGACGCGACCCTGGCGATCTTTCCAGATAGGGCGCCCCGAATAGAATTCATAATGTCGCTCGTACTCGCCTATCATCAACGGTATGGGTATCATTGTGTACTTACCCCTTTCTCTCTCTGCCCAGCCCCTAGTAGCACAAAGACGAGTGAAACCTCTTAACGCGAGCGCATATAGGCCTTCCGCCATAGAACACTGGCCTTCTAGTTGGAACTCCTCTCGAGGGATAATGCAGACATCAACCCCGCAGCATTCATTTGCAATCTTCTTTGTACTTTGGGCACGGAATTGCACAAGGACTAGAGTCTTTGAGTCGAAGAGGAATACTTGAGGACATTCATACAAGTGCGCATATCTTTAGTCGTTAGCTGGGAAGAAAGTAGGAAAACATATTAACGTAAACTAGAACATACCCCCGGGCCTCTTACATAAGCCTTATTGTCGTTTCCGATGGATTTTGTTCAAATGCCCATTCCTTCCTTTTGATGATCCTTGGCCGCTTCAACTCCCCTATTATAGCAGGGGACTCAAGCAACTTAATTTCATGGGACATTGTCATTTGGTAATCGACGACCTTTTTGCTTGAACTCGAATTCTTCGAGGCCACTAGTGAACGCGGCGAGAGTTTGGGCCCCCCTGGTACAGGTGCGTCGCCGCGGGCTGGTATGGTGACTGCTGATTCCCCTGAAAAGGCGAGCTCCACCAAAGGAATAATGTTCTGATCAAAATCATGCGTCACATCGCCTTCAGTCATGAGCTCTAGCTGCTGAGTGTTCAACATATGTGCAGGGGTGGCTAAACCTAAGGAATCAGCCTTGGAGGGTAGTGTCTCAGGTGACAGAAAAGCTGTAAGTTCCTGTCTCGTTGGAAGCCTCCCTCTCACTGTTTCACGGTACAGAGGATGATAATCGCTAGTCCATTTTTTCTCAGACAGTGTTGAAGAGATGTCGACGTCCAGTTGTTGACGACCGAACATTCTGATCAGGCTGCCCACAGTATGAGACATGTTGGAACGGGTGCGAATCAAGAACAGTCTGTCACCAATCGTCCCTTGGATATCAAGACTTTAGAGTTCAGAGTATCTATATCTTTCGGAAGAATTGACAGTCAAGCAACCTGGATTCGATTCGCAAATAATTTTGAAGTCGTGTTTGTATATTTCTACCGGGATATATGGCAATCTTATACTTTGTAAGCGTAGAGCTATCAGAGTACAACGCCAGTAATTATATTAGATCAGTGGGCCATATTACCAACTTGCACACTCTCATTACCCCTAGCTGTTTGAGCCTCGGACGGTGCTAACGCGCCCAGATCTTCTCAGCGTGGAAACCAATCACTTCCTCTAATTTTTATGTACTAGTAAATAGCGTACTATGGCGCGAATTGAGAATATTATCTACCTCTAACCTTAAGATCCTGCAGCCTCAGATTGACGGAGGATCCTTAAAAGCACAGTCCAACCAAGCCTCTAGAGCCAATCATTTCCCAAAAGCGCAATCACATTGCATGGCTTAGTGCATGTCTAAAAACTCCGGGCACACTGAAAGTAGAGCAGCATCACTATTAGTCATATTCCGGCTCGAGCTTCGAGTATTGCCGTCATCGTGTGATGACTAACTGTTTCCTTCGCCCATGTCAGCGCGAATGGTTCGTATTACATTATAAAAGGCGGGGTTGAATCATGTAGTGTACCGTTTCCGCTCACTCGGTCGAAAGATCATTGGACGAACGAATTCGTACTCTCAGGAGCTTAGCGCAGCCCGAGAATAACGAGAACACTTTCAGGAGACTTTGTTGAGATTTCGACCGCATTGCGTAGATGCACCGGTTTCTGATAGACAAGGACGGTGCGGGTTAGCGCCGCGTAGATTGTTGGTTCTAAAGGTGCAGTGTTCCGAGTGGCAAGCATATGAATGCGACGGGCGCGGCCCCATCGAAACCAGAGAAACGTATTGACTTGACGCCGCCCTAAGAAGTACACTTTGGCTATTGTGGGGACCGTCAGCGTAACGGAGCACCGGTCACCTTCCCCAGCGCAGGGACCCACTCCGAGATGCACGTTGATCACATTGGGCTACGTGACCTCGAAGTCTCAAGAGGTACGTGAACAGACTGTTCTCAAATCCAAAGTTTCTGTATTGTCCCAAGCAGAAAATTACCACTAGACCATGGCACGTCTTTTGTATGAGACGGAATCGTGCTGGCAGTGCTTGATGGGAGAAATCAAGCGCGATGCCAAGGAATACTAGGTGGCACATAAAAGAATCCAACGCTCCGTGCCCAAAACAAAGGGGTCTTCGTCGAAAACGTGATTCTGTGAGCACATACTTGATATGAATCTTCCTCAAGTCCTTTTACGCTACGGCCCCGTCCGAGATACTCTACTACATTTATTAGATGACAAGACTGTTGCTGCGATGAGCAGCACCTGCAGATTATTATACGATATTGCACGTGATACTCTACGACTAAGAGCAAATAGCTACCTGATAAGTGATGACCCTTTTATGCACATTCATTATCCGATGCGGGGTTATTATGGCCTCGAGATGACATACGACAATTTTTGCTGGGTCACATGTAAATGTTCACTCCACAACCTACTACGCAGCGGAAAGTTCTGTAACTGTACGTGCGATGGTTGCCGGTCATCGCGAAGAATGATGCTAAGAATCAATAGGTGCCTTTTGTTCGACAAGGACAGTCGGGAGTTTGTGGATCGGGAGAGTTAATGCTTGCGGCATGACTCTTGTACGAGAGAACTTGGCTTCGCCGGTTGTTTGCATCGTGTCCGGAAAACGAACGCACAGAGTGCGAGTGTGCCAGGCGCCTTGATAGTATTTTTAGCATGCGAGGTTGCTTTATAGCGTTAAGAAAAAACCATGACAATCTGTAATTGACCTTCTCAATAAACTGATAGTCGCGATAGAAAAATTGAAGGACTGCTAAACATACAGTGATGATGATGCTGGGCCGTTGCATTGGCGATATGCAGGGATCCACTACCTATTCTTTACATCTTTGAAATGTGAACCATTACTTTCTTGATACTGATACTGCACTATCTATGGCTCAAATGATCTATACAACCCAATACAGCTCGAAGTTTAGACCGACGCAAATTTCAGGTAGTACGGCTTGCACACACTTCACCGAGGATGTTTATGGATGTAATATATCGAACGCATTTACCTCCCGCAGTTTTGGGCTCTCGCGGGCGCTTCATGGAACGGGCAGCTCGATATTCCTGTGACTAGCAACTTTGGCACGCACGTGGTATGCGGACAAAGATCAACTCCTCAGTAACAGTTCATGATGCCAAATCTTCGTTCGAATATATTATGCTATGAACGGATGCACGAAATGTCACGGTACGCCCAAGTTCGCATGTCATCGATTTTCAAACAGAGAACTCCCCCTTAGAAAATGCAGGTCTAGCCCAAGGATCCCCGTTATCGTTGGTCAAATGTCGTTGGCCACGATCAATTTATTCGCGATAGAGTACGGGATCGGACTTCATTCAAACGTCAAGGCCCTTGTCTACAAATTAATTCAGCAGGAATAACATTGTATTAGACTTCGGGCTTCTAAGCTTTGTACAATGGGTTTGTTGGCAGGACGTGAGCACAAATGGTTTGTAATAACTAAAGCTATAAAATAAGTTTTCTTGTAGGGAACATCGACAGCTTAAATGTACTGTATATTATGCAGCTTTTATGAATCTTTGTGAATGCGCATATGGCACGTGGCTCGTGATTCAGCGGGCAAGTTCCAATCCCCTTCTCATAACGATAAATAAATCGTGTAACAATCGGCAAGTGCCGCCCATCGCGGCAACAGTCTTGTCATCTAGTAGACTAGGAAAGTAATTTGGACAGGAGCGTATCGTCAAGGGACCTGACCAAGATTCATCTTAAGTGAGTCACCCACAAAATCATGCTTTATCTTCAGCACGGAGCGTTGGATTCTTTCTTTGTGCCACTGAGTATTTCTTGGCATCGCGCTTGATTCATCCCGTCTAGAAGCACCAGAAGACGTACCATGGTCTGGTAGTATTTTCTGTCTGGGACAATACATGGAACCTCTGGATTGGAGAAAAGTCTGTTAAAAAAAACTATGTCTTGAGACGAAGAGTCAAATCCTAGAAGCCACGTAGCCCACTGTGATCAACGTGCATTTCGGAGTGGGTCTTGCTTTGGGAAGGCGGCGGAGACAACCCCTTCACATCCATTTTCCTGGGCTGATGGTACCCACAGCGAGCCGAAGATAAAGAGCGGTAGAGGCTCATGTCATGCTTCTTAGGGAGACGTCAAGCCAATACGTTCTCTGGTTTCGATGCGGCGCATCCCTTTGCTAGCTACTCGGAATAACTGCACCTTGAAACCAAGAACCACGCGGCGCTCAGAAGCGCCATCCTTATCTATCGGAAGACCGGTGCATCTGCAGTAAGAGCCTCAACCAAGTCCAATCAGGACTCTTCTTGTTGTTCGCGGACTGCGCTCATCTCTCTCGAAAACAGTATAAGTTCATTCGTCCCAGAGTTCCTCAACCAATAAGCGGAAAAGGTGCACTAGATGATCAATCCCGCCGTATGTCGCAAACGATTTGCGCTCAAACGGGCGACGCAAATCATTAGTCATCAAATATGGCGGTAACTAACCAACTTAAAAACTTTTGTCGGCTCAAAGCTCGAGCCGAACCATGGCTAAGAGTGATGGCCATCTGATGCAGGACTCTGAATCCTTCAGCATAAGAATATTGACTGTTAGTGGCTGAGTTCAAAAAGTCTTTGTATCGGAAGCGAACCACTAACAAACCTAGTCTCTTTAAGCTTGTTACATTGGTGGTAGGAACGCGACACCGGCGCTCGAACTGTACGACGGGAAATCGGCTGAATCATTTATCCGCCTTGCCGTCCCGCTAGGCTGCTTAACGAGAGGTGTTCGGTCTCCACTCGTCAATCGATGAATGAACTCGTTCTCTCAAATATCCATTCATTACTGTTATGTCGGAGCCGGTTGATTGCAAAGCCTTGTTTACCAAAGCTGAGGAAGAAATTCGGCAGAGAAATAACACGTTTATTCAGCCCTTGCCTTGTATTGGAAGAATATGGGCAGCGTTTCGCCGACCGACCCATCACGAGCGAAAAGGACCTGGAAGTTTATGAGCGTTTCGCGGTGGAGAACCATGTATTCGACATCATCTTAGCTCAGCACTGTGCAAAATACTGAGTGCCAAAGAAGAATTCGGGCTGGGGGATGGAGTGTGGTTCGATAACCACGCCAATGCTCTCGACGAGAATGCGCCAGACGAGCCAAATGCCCAAGAACAATCTGCACGCCTCGACCAATTCTGTATTCACCGCGTCGATAGGAATATCAAAGCTTTGTTAACTACAGTTGAATACAAACCACCGTACAAACTTTTTAATAAGAATCTCTGAGCTGGGCTCCGATTGATGGATTTCTACCGCGAGATTGTTGAACCAGAAACCGTTCCTACAGATGAATCCGACAAGCTGAAGTATGATGCTGCTCGTCTTACAGGCTCGGCGATCGTTCAGAAATACTATATAATAATTTAAAAAGGACTGGAGTATTTATATCTAACTATTAGACTTGGAATTGTGCTTCTGCAGGTACCCGATAACTGCTCGACTCTGTACTACTACTTGTGCGAGCTGAATCTCGACATTAAGAATAGTATTAAAGATCCTCGGACAGCCATTAAAAGAATACTTTGTCTCTATTTTATAAGCTTCCGTTCAGCCTGTTGAGACTAAGCCTGGCGGAACGCTGCGCGGGCGCAGCTACTAATTTAGGAGACTAGTTTTAAATATATACAATTTCAGATTCTATCAGAGGAGTTGCGGTAAAAGTCTTCCGGATCCGACTATATCAGCCTGAAATATACCAGTTCGGAGGTGATGTTATCTGAGTATTAGTTATCGTTCCTATTCGAATCGCGTTTAATATAAAAACGCCGCCTATCTACTCGGGCCACTCGCTGTATACCTGCTATTACCGCGCATGAAGAAAATCCTTCAGACTCTGATAATAATCCAGTTACTTTTATAAAAGATAAGCGATGTTTTAGTTAAATCGCGTCCTTGCTACCCGCACTACATTTCACACCGACCATACTAAGAAATTCCTCCCGTCGCCATAATAGTTAACCTTATTTATATTATAATAAGTTTTATATGCAAAAATGTCTGTTAGGCTTACAGTGCAGCGATATCTTAGACCCGAAATGTCCTAATATGGACCTTCATCAGGTTAGAGAAAATAGCAACTGTTATCCAGTTCGGACCGCTGAATTAGTATTCTTAATTAAGCGAGAATTGGACGAGAATCTGGACTATTATACTCCGTTCGGGTAATATGAATCATATAGCGCGCTATTTAAAGTGATCTCTGCGACATACGGCTATATAATGGTGGGAAAGAATACAATCTCGCGACTGTAGCACGAGGTATTACAGGAAGCAGAGATCTATTATATTCTTTAAAGTATTTAAAGCTCTGCGGTGCCGGTGTTTCTGGGTCTTATTAATTTAGCTAAGATCTATTTTTTTTTACAGTACGGGTGAGATTCGCCATATACTTATTATGGGACCAAGGCCCTGATATAGAGCTCAGCTTCAGGCACCAGTTGATGCCTGAGGCCTCATACGCTATATACTAAACTAGCGCTAGCTTAGCATATATAAAGAAATTTCGTATAAATAAACGAAATAGCTTTTTAATTATTTTTTTTATTTTAAAATATATTTCAATTAGCATAATCCATCCGTTCTATAATATTAAAAATAGCTTATTAAAAAGTTCTAAACAAAGCCCGACTAAACATACGAATAGAATAGAATAAAATTAAAAAATTATTAAAATAATAAAATAAATAGATTAAAAAGAACTGCGGCCGACTGCAGCATCTGCAGCTATATATAATAATATATAATTTTTTTTATAGAAGTTAATCAGTTTTTATAAAAAAAATAGTAAAATAGAAATTAACTTTTAAAAAATAAATAAATAAATTATAAAGTTATAACGCGATTTTTATTATTAATAATAAATTAAAAGAAAATCTTTTATAATATTTATACAAACTGAATTACAGACCCCGCCTTCGGTATTTTAATATAGAACTATTTAATAAAAAAATAAATATAATTATAAACTATTTAAATTAAATATATATATAAAATTTATAATTAATAGAAGCTGTTATTTTATTAAATTGAAATAAGTTTTTTATATTTACAGTTGATTATACAAACGGGCAGTATAATAAATATTTTTTTAAATTAAATTTTAAAATACCGAAACAGTATAATTTAAAGATATATTTATAATAATAAATAAAGTATTTAGAGATCTTAATATATAATAAAAAGTTCTAAATCAGATAAATATAATAAAATAAAAAAAAAGAAAACTAAAAGAATTTTTAAACAATTTAAATAAAGCTCTGCTATAAATAAATAGATATAATTAATCAAACGAACAGAAAAAAATTATATTAAATACTACAGTAAATTAAAAACTTATTAAAAATTTAATTAAAATTTTTTAAAAATTTATATATAAAAATTATTACAATTAACTGTATTATATAAATTATAATCTTAATAGAATATTTTTTTAAAGAAAGTTATATTAAAACTGTACCGGCGCGATGTAAACTGAATTTTAAACTAATAAAATAAAAATCTATTTAAATAACTACTATATAGTAAGAAAAACGCTACTTCTGTATAATTACTAATAATTTTTAAAAATAGATTTAATAAATAATATTTAATAAAATATAAAAAAGATATAAAACAGATTACTGCCTCTGTTGCAGATAAAATAGATATTTTATTTATTAATCTTTTTTAAAATCTATTATATAATTAATAAATATAGCTGCTGTAATATCTGTTTCTTAATAATAAAAAGAATAATATATTTTTTTAAATAAAAATTCCGATTCAGAAAAAAGAAGAAGTCTAATATAAAATTATATATTTAAATCAGAATTATTAGATAAAACTAAAAGAAAATAGAAAAGTTTTAAAAAGAAATGTATAATCGTATGTTTCTTTTTAATAAAAATTATTTTAAATCTTACTATAATTATTTATATTTTTATTAATTTAAAATATCTAATTTATAATATTATAAATAAAATATTTATTAAAATAAATAGTTTATTAATTATTAGTATCGCTTCAAGACCGGTATAAGAAATCTTAAGCGATAAAATATTAATCTATTTTATTATATAAATAAAAATAAATATAGAATTTTATATAAAAGAAGAAGTATATTTTTATATAATATCTAATAATTTTAAATATAATTTAATTTTAGAAAAAAGCTGGCTGTCCTGCTATAATAGGATTCTGAAACCGAACTGAAAATAATTATTTTTATATATAATTAAAATAAAATTAAAGAATCTATTATATTTATAATATATAAATCTAAAACTTCAGCTAATTATAAAAATAGAATTTAAAGACTATCTGCAGAAAAAATCTAAAAGAAGTATAGAAGTATTTATAATCTTATTTACTAATATTCAGAAAGTATTTTAAATAAAAAAAACAGTTGATTTATATATAATATTTTTTAAATATTATTAGAACTTTCTATCTTTCTTTTAATTAGAAAATATAAAGAAACTACTGTTATACTAAAAAAAGAATATTAATTATAAAATCGGGCTTGTATATTAGAATAAAAAAGAATTAGAAGTTCTGTAGAATTCTTTTTATAATATATTTTAAAAAAAACTAACAGTTCTACAGTCTAAACTAATTAAATTATTAAAAAAATTTTATATAAATTAGTTATTTCTCAGCAGCAGCTCCGGTACTTTTTATATAAAAATTAAAAAAGATTTAAAATTCTATATAAATTATTAAATATTTAATATAATTATAAAGAAGAACTGCTATCCGCTTTCTCTAATTTATAAAATCCTAAATTAAATTAGAAAAATAAAATAATTTATTAGATTAGATATTTCATCTGTTTTTTATAAAATCTATATTATAAAGAATTAAAAATAAATAATAGTCTTTCGTACGCGGTACGGGTTATATAAATAGCTAGTAATATTCTTTAAACTAATAAATACTTTAAATATTTTTTAAAAATATATTAACTAAATATTATATAAATATCTTAACGAATTCTGTTCGGCTTATATTAATAATATATTAATCTATATAATTAGAGATGTTAAAAAGTACCGCAAATATATATAAAAATTATTATAAAAATTAAAGAAAGCTAGTCTGTTTTTAAATATTAAAAAATATAAATTTAGAAAAAAGAAATTCTCTATCTTGGATTTGTCGTACGCGCAGGGTAAGATATTAAAATAGATTCTAAAAAGATTAAAATAATTATTTTATAAAAGAGCTTTAAATTAGTAAAAGCTGTTCGAAACTTTTTAAAATTTATAAATTTTTACTGTAAATTTATCTTTAAATTCTCAACTACCGTACGACTATTTATAAATCTAATAAAAAAATTAGTTTTTTTAATAAATTAAAAAGTACAAGACCAGCTTCCGAATATTAAAAAAAAGTTTATAATTAAACCGATTTTTTATTTTTTTAATCCCGAATGTACGATAGTAGTAGAAACAGACTTTTTAGACTATAATATAAAAAAATATTCTTTTAGATAAATAAAAATAAAGAGCTGCATTCTTACATTTATTTTTTTAAACGGAATACTTTAATTAAATATAATTATAAAATTTATAATAAAGAACTGCTAGTAGTTATACAGTATTTAAAAGTATAGAATACTGAATTATATTTAATATTAGAATTTATAGTAGTAACTGATTATAAAAATTTAAAATACTTTTTTAAATTATATAAACTTACAGAAAGATATGTATAATAGAGTTTAATCTTAAGTAGATTTAATTTTAAATAAATCTATCGGAAAGAAATAGAAAACGAACGAACAGATGTCCTTGTTATGGGACCAAGGCCCTGATATAGAGCTCAGCTTCAGGCACCAGTTGGTGCCTGAGGCCTCGCACGCTATATACTAAACTAGCACTAGCTTAGCGTATATATAAAAGAATTTCGTACGAATAAATAAAATAACTTCTTAATTATTTCTTTTTATTTTAAAATATATTTTAATTAGTATAATCCATCCGTTCTGTAATATTAGAAATAGCTGATTAAAAAGCTCTAAATAGAGTCTGATTAGATATATAAATAAAATAAAATAAAACTAAAAAAATTATTAAAATAATAAAATAAATAAATTAGAAAAAACTGCAGCCGACCGCAGCGTCCGCAGTTATATATAATAATATATAATTTCTTTTATAAAAGCTAATCAGCTTTTGTATAAAAATAATAAAATAGAAACTAGTTTTTAAAAAGTAG